ATTACATCCACGGGATGATAGATTTGCTGGACACTCTACTTAACTCCTTGTGCTGATCCTTCCATGAACTTTTTGAGCAGATATGTCTTTCCTTTCTTCGTGTTGACAAATCCCGTTCATGCTAGAGTGATCTGCTGTTCAGCACAAGCTTCAGTTTATAAAAATTCAATAAGTGCCTCCGATTTGTTTGAATTGGCATGACCAGTACCTGCAGTCATTTTTTTCTGCAGATACTTTTGCCAAACTCGCAAAGTTTCATCGGAAAGACTAGATTCCACTAACAGATTGATCCAAATTGTAAGATTTGCATTATTAGGGACTGAAGGGATCTTAGATGAGACTACAGTTCAATATACATCTTGGACCGATTCATGGTTTGTATTACTTGTTGCCTTTGAAATTATAAGCTTCAGCAACTTTCTTACATCGACTTGAAGGTAAAGATCCTCACGACCATACCTCTCCTTTAATTTTTCAACAGCAAATTTATAACCAACTTCTCCTACCTTGAAGTGACTATCCACATTCGCTGCTAGTTCAGTTCCAACAACCATCGACATCTTCAAATAGTTGAACTTATGTATCGTACTGATTTCATTATCCTAATGCAGTCTTGAATTGCCCCCAGTAACAAAGTCAGTCCTTCAAATCTCCGCTGAAACTAGGTAGATTAAACTGCGGTAACTTGTACCTCTTCTTCCCACTTGTCAGTCGACCATCTTTTCGAGCTCTTGCCACTTTACAGAAAAATAAAGCTGAATTCTTCTCGATACACCTCAGCTTCATTTGGTTCCCCTTGAATCTTTTCATCTTAAGCATCCTGGTTCACCAACAGATTGAAAATGATCAAATTCTTCTAACTTTGAATGCGCATCCTGGAACGTCCTCTAACACCGCCTCCAGCAACTGTCATAGTTCTTAGCTTTTTGCAACTTGTATCAATTGTTACACATTTTAAAGTGAAGTTCAAATTTAAAATTTTTTGCCATGATTTTAGCTCGAGATTATGTGTCCAGGAACTTTTGTGAACTTTTAATTGCATATAAGAGCCTTTAAGAATCCTCAAGAAACTTCATAAACATTAAAGGGGTCGTTCATTAATCCAAAGTGCCTCAGAAGGTCGAGAAATTACTGCATAGCTAGGGGAGGGGACAAGGTTTCAAGAGCGGTGTCGTTGTAGCCCAATTTCCCTCGGATGATCTTTACTCCAGTTGCAGCAGAAGCATAAGGGTTCATCTTCTCGTTTAGAATCAAAAAGGGTATTTACTAATCGCATTGAAATTTTTTCAATTGCAATGGCAATAGCAATTGCAGCATTCTCTTAACGTCAATCATTTAAAATCGTCCAGTTTTCTTAATTAAAGCTAAATATTTCAGATAGTTTGATAGTGCGCAATTTTGTGAATGTAATTGTCACTATCGTGACTGCTATAAAAAGACAAATTTGGAAGAATTAGGCGTCTTCAGATATTTCTAAAGACGTTGTTACCTTCCACGTCGATTTCGTCGTTATTAGAAGACATTGAGCGATATAGGACAGACACGTTTTGGAGCGAAAATTCGACTACCTTATTGGCATCATCTCCTTTCACGATTGAAAGTGAAGCTTCTTCGATACCTTTGTTCGACAACTACTTAAATAAATCGCGTGTCATCAATCTGCCGAGAAATTGACTATTCATAACCATCTTTCATTCGGCGAACGCGTTTCGATATGTTGTTGACATACATATTTTTCTTTTCATTTTTTAATGCAAATAAGAGAGGAACGAAAAGGAAATCTAAACTTTTCATATGGAGAAGTGAGCGAACTTTTAAGTAAGATTATACAAAGGAAATGTATTTGATATGAGCGCTGGGTTTAAATATACTCAAAGTTAAAATATTCTGTGGCAGTCGTCGATATTTGAGAAACGTTGGCTTGCCAAGTAAAAGAGAAATAAAGAAGTTTAAAAGTGATAGAAAGGGTTCGACGCTTATGTCAATTCGTGTGTAAAGCTCGAACGGTTAGCTGAACTTCTCAATCGGCTCTGGCGATGAAAAGGAAAAGTTGGCTTCATTACAAAATAATAGCGAGCTTCTGAAATTTCATGAATAATTTTAATATTGTCTATTTGTGTTAATGTTGACTAAATGACAAGATAACAAACGAAATTAGTTTCCAACTTCCATTTAGAGTTTTGCTCTAAAGATACTACATTTGCATATTTACTTCCTTAATTTCGTTTTGGAAAATTGATATATTGTTACTTCACTCCGAAATGAGAGGCTTTTGTGTTTCTAGGATAATGTTTGCTTAAACGTGTAATAAAAGACGAACACGTTAACCCTATGTAACACAAAGAGCTACATCAATAATGCGCTAAGACGATGATCAATTCGACAACTTTCCTCTTCTTTGGACCTCTTGAAATACTATTTTGAAGAGAAATGGAAGAAGTCTTTTAATAGATCAAGTTCATATCATCTGATACCATCAATTAATTGTTATTACAGTGCTTTTCTTTATAATCCGCGGTCTTTAGTTTTCAGGTCTTGAAGTGCGATATGAATAAATTTGTCTACTCAAAGATAAAGAAAGAAAAGATAAAGTAGGTGGATTCACGACACTATGCTATACTTACAGAATATGACTATGGAGCAATTGAGCGATGAGAAATCAGCTTTGTAAATCAAATTTAACACTAATAAAAAAAGGGCACTCGAATCTTTTTACACACAATTATTTCGTTTAAAACTGGCTACTTCCGGAATGTGCGGATCCACAAGAAATTCTATTTCATATGTCGGCTTTATTCCCTGATTTTATTACCGAACTTATTCCCTCTATATTTTTAAGGAAAACAAAAACTTTATTCTATTTATAAATTTTTTGTCCCACTTTTGGCACTTCTACGAAAATATTTTATTAGGTTTACGCTCGTCCCTTTCCTGCTCTTTCCCGTCGCTATTTTTCGTTACTTCGTTAATTCTTATTTCATTTGCCTTCTCCTGTTAATGTTTCCTTTTGGAATTTTCCTGCTTTGTGTGTTCGTAATGGAATGTTGCGTGCACACCTTCGATAGCGTGTTTGGAGTGCAAACTGCACATCATGTAGGTATATAAGATGCGGTGAGGACGGATTAATATTTTAAAGTGGAAGTTTTGTTGAAGTTGTAGATTTTCAATTCAATTGAATTCAATTTAATAAAAACAAAATCTAATTTAAGGGTAGTCGGGCAATATAGGATATACGTAGGTATATGAACAAGCCTTAATCTACTGCACATATCAACCCTTAAAGTGGTCAAAAAATGGTAACTTCCATTCTAAATTCATTTCATTTTACAATAAATCAAATATACATAGGACGCCAGAAGGTAAGTTCCATTTGTATATTCCGCTAGTGCAGCGCTGCTATCGCTATTTTGAGTTACCTATTTGTTTTTTTTTTTTTGTAACTTTAAATTACATTGTAAACAAAATTGTTTAAAAACATAAAAAATATTTACCTTAACACTTAAAATATAAAAAATTTCATCAAATGCTGTCTGTGGCGGTAGAGTTCCTAAAATGCAAGCGGCATTTTTCCTGCCGAACAGCTAAATTAAATCTTTGTTTTAAAAATTCGAAGCAACGTTTCTCTTTTTCAAAATTTTTTTTGACAAATTTTTGTTTCTGCGTTATTCCACTCTTCTCGCCAGAGTATTTCACAATTTTTGTCGATCATACTTTTAATTTCGTTAATTTTTGTCTTCTCCAAGTCCTGTTTCTTTTCATTTTGTCCTGTGATTTCTTTATTTCTTTTGTTTGAATTTGAATTTCCGTCATACTCTGCTACTCTAAATCGTAGATTTTTTAATATAGTGATATTATTTATTGTAATATTGTTTCCATTTTTTATGTTAAAATGTTGTATTCTTTTTTAAATTTTAGTATTTATGGACGTTATGCCTGTTATAACATTTAAGTATTGCATTCGTCGGTGTAGTTTTGTATGTCTGTAATATATTACTGGGGATATCTCTTTGTACACATCAATTTTTTCGTTTGAGTATTGGTTATAAATCTCCCCCATGCCCCTGGCGAATATAATATTAGTGGTTCTATTGCACCTTTATATATTAATAATTTGTTTTTTTTATTTATACCCCAATTTTCTCTTCCTGCCCAATTAAATGCATTAAATAATTTTCTTGATTTTTCAGAAATATGTTTTATATGAGATGTTAATTTCAATCTTTCTTCCAAAATTATGTCCAGATATTTTATTTTTTCTACAATTTTAATTTGTTTGTCGTTTATTTTAATTTTTGGAGGCCTTTTTTTGTCCATTAGCAAAATCATTTCTGTTTCTTCTGTAGAAATTTGTTTTCTGCAGTCCATAATTCTCAATTGGTTATTATTTTTCTTGCTGATTCTTCTAGTTCTTTTCTTGAATTCCACTCTACTAAAATGATTTTGCATATGCTCTTTTGTATCTTTGCAAACAGTAGGTCCCAAAACTGATCCTTGTGGACGACCCTTACCAATATCTTTGTGTACATGATGAACTTGGTTCTTAAACATAGTTTTTCTGTCATTTAAATAATTTTTAATAATATTCCATAGATTTTCCTTGCAATTCATTATCTTTAGTTGATATAAGACTGATGGCTACCACACCAAGAATCCGAATCAAAACCGGCTGAACCGATTGGAACCAAATTACACATATATTGTAACGGAAACGCTCCAGACATGACGTCACCTTTGGCGCTCTGGAATTTTCTACGCGCGCGATAGTGGGATATGTATATATATAGTCCGAGAGCTAGCAAACATTATACCACCTGACATTATTCCAAAGGTTCACTATTTTTATTTAAAAGTACTTTACATGCACATTCTTAAATCGGCCGTCTGCCGGGTTATATTGGCAGCGTTGGAGTAGGGCGCGCGCTCAAATTTGGAAAAAATATCGAGAAATCACACGATTTCTTCCAGGATGGGAGATGTCTCATTCGATGCACAATGTTGAGTTGTATCTTTATCGAAAATGGCAGACGATCCAAGTGGCAGCGTTTGTCCAGCAGACGCCGTTAAAGATTGTCATTCCATCTCAGTTTAGCGCGTAAGGAGTAATTCTATAGAGCGAGACGTCTACAGTGTTCAGGCTCACCTACGTTCTGGCCGCCGTAATTATAATTAAAAAATGTACAGTATTTCATCAATATTTAATATTTTTTACGGAAATAAGTACCTACTATACAAAAAAAAAGACGCCTAATCTTCTTCATCCCTGGTTTCGTGATATTGTGGATCTTCATCACGTTCATCTAAAAGTACCTACATTAATATCTTTAGTAAGTATATCTTTCAATTTTTCTGAAAATTGGGGCCCTACGTACCACCGTAGTGTATACAAATTATTTTCAATAATTCAACCGTCGTTTTCAGGCTTGTAAAATTTAGGAGATTTTTGTGTGGCATGTCTCCAAATAGCACAAACCTGGTTTTCTCTTTTAATTTTCATTAAAAGTACACACGAGCATGGTGGTAGTCAGCTATACCATCGAATTGCCGTATTCGGTTAAATATTTCTTTGTTATTTTGTTTCAGTTTGTCTAAGAAAATTTCCTACCTGCAATATAATATTTTTAATAAACACTCAAAGTTGGGACATCCCACCTATACTTACCTCGCTTTTTTTATTTCAGTTTTTTTTTCTTTTTCCGTATTATTACTCAAATAAATAAAATCCGTCTATTACCGAAAGATTTCGTGCCAGAGACTCGGGCAATTTTTGGCAGAGATGCCGAATAAGCATTACCGGACCTGACCAGATAAGACCTACCGATTTATTGAAGGCACTAGAACAGATAAATTCAAATCCTCGTTAGTCGAATTTCTAGTGCAGGAATGGTGCCAAGATCATTATGCCACTATTTTGGGGGACAAAATTAATAATATATTAATAATAAATTGTAACGATATATGAATATGATACAAAATATAGTAACGAAAATGGATTTATGTTCTAAGAAATTAAAGAAGAACTAATATGTTTTCATTTATCAAACTTCCAGAAGATAACAATGTCATTATAAAAGCTTCGGCGACAGATTCATTCATTGCCCAAAAATTTATCAATTTGGATTGAAACAGGTACCTAATAGGAAATAGTCATTAACTCATTACCTATGATGAAATCTATTTAGTTTTAAATACATTTTTATGTACACACCGTAACAACACATGATACATCCACTTGAATGATAGTTCTTAGTTTAGGCCCCGAACTATGTAATTGTTATGCCAGATTTTCATGCAATTACTATTAGTGGTTACACCGCAGCTTTTGCAAGAAAAGCAAACTGAAGCTCTTCAAAATTTTAGAACAAGATAAGGGAATGCCAGATTTTTCAATTTTGGGCGATTCTGAAATCGTAGATGAAAAATAAATTAAAGCAATTGAAAAATTGGCTTGCCTAATATACGGAAAAAGAAAAAAAACTGATATAAAAAAGCGAGGTAAGTATAAGTGGGAGTCCCAACTTTGAGTGTTTATTAAAAATATTATATTGCACGTCGGAAATTTTCTTAGACAAACTGAAACAAAATAACAAAGAAATATTTAACCGAATACGGCAATTCGATGGTATAGCTGACTACCACCATGCTCGTGTGTACTTTTAATGAAAATTAAAAGAGTAAACCAGGTTTGTGCTATTTGGAGACATGCCACACAAAAATCTCCTAAATTTTACAAGCCTGAAAACGACGGTTGAATTATTGAAAATAATTTGTATACACTACGGTGGTACGTAGGGCCCCAATTTTCAGAAAAATTGAAAGATATACTTACTAAAGATATTAATGTAAGTACTTTTAGATGAACGTGATGAAAATCCACAATATCACGAAACCAGTGATGAAGAAGATTAAGCGTCTTTTTTTGTATAATAGGTACTTATTTTCGTAAAAAATATTAAATATTGATGAAAAACTGTACATTTTTTAATTATAATTACGGCGGCCAGAACGTAGGTGAGCCTGAACACTGTAGACGTCTCGCTCTATAGAATTACTCCTTACGCGCTAAACTGAGATGGAATGACAATCTTTAACGGCGTCTGCTGGACAAACGCTGCCACTTGGATCGTCTGCCATTTTCGATAAAGATACAACTCAACATTGTGCATCGAATGAGACATCTCCCATCCTGGAAGAAATCGTGTGATTTCTCGATATTTTTTCCAAATTTGAGCGCGCGCCCTACTCCAACGCTGCCAATATAACCCGGCAGACGGCCGATTTAAGAATGTGCATGTAAAGTACTTTTAAATAAAAATAGTGAACCTTTGGAATAATGTCAGGTGGTATAATGTTTGCTAGCTCTCGGACTAAAACTTTGGAATAGAGTAATCTCATTGGGAGTTCCATTGGCAGATCAGGGTCGTACGTGTTAGCATATTAATTTATCACCACAGACTTCCATTAATACGGTCGATAAGAGTGTTTTCGGAAAAAAAAATAGGTAATGTGAAGAGCATGTTGCGAGGAACCGCAGGGCATTATGCGTCAAGTCGCGGTAAGGCTAGTTAGTTCATTGTGAGCAATCAAAAAAAATTCGCAAGGAGCGTTGTTAGAGTTCAACTCACAGAGACCACAGTAAATTTAAAATTAGCCGCCAGTCAGTTCAAAAAATCGAAGGGTTGTAAATACTCGAATTCGAAAAAAACTCATAATCGTAGTCGTAGTCATTGTCATAGTCATAATCACCGTCACAGTCACAATCACAATCACAATTGTCTTATGGAATGTGTAGTTTTGTTTATATTAGTGTAGTTTTGGCTACTCAGAGGTATAATTTGTTTAGGGGGGTGCCACTTAAAATTTTTTCAAAGTATGACATTCAATCAAAAATTTAATTTTTTCGAAAAAGTACCTAAAAAAATTATGTGATTGTGGAAGAGGGCTTAACCTGTGCCTTCGTCCAAAAATTAGCCCCCTGCGCGATTTAGTTTCCGGCATTATGGCTTAATGGTAGAGCGTTGAGTTATAAATCCGGAGGTCGGGTGTTCGAAACTGGGTTGAGGTGAATTTTTCATCTGTGGCAGAGATAGAAATTACCTTAGACCAGTTTCAAGTATTCTGCCGGCTACTCCGAATTAGGTTTTCCTGCAGTTTTCCTAATTCGTAAGGTAAATACCGAAGTAGTATAGAACAACTTAAGACCTTTTGCAGAGGCACCTCTAAAAAGCATTATGCGGGTCACTCTGTAATTGGGCGCAAGCATGTTGAGGGCCCAGAACAAGAGAGGTATAATAAATAAATAAATTTTTTTTTTAAATTCGAAAAACTGTCCAATTTTGACGAAAAAAGGTTATAACAGCGAAATCGTTAAAGTTAAGGGTATAACATGTTACATAAAAAATAAGTACTTGAACAAGTACCCTCCAAATCAGTAATAAAATATAGGGTGTTGCATTTTTAAAAAAATGCAAGTTTGATACGCCAAACGGGGATCAAAAATATTTTAGAAACATGCCGGCGGTAATTGTGTACAATTTTGCTTTAAGACTTTTTTCGGGATCTTTTATGCTAAAGGAGTTATAATCCGAGGGATCTTAGGTGCTACACCCTGTACAGGAAAGTGTGCCAACTGTAACGGGAGTCCTTTAATGGTGTGGATTTTTTAGCGTATTTTCCTCAAAATGAAAAATCGCTATTGACTGTACTTTGACGTCCGTCCGTCCGTCTGTCCGTCACACGTACTCCTTCTAAACACTGAACCGATTTTGGCGATATAGGACTCATTTGAAAGGGCTTGATCCAAGGATTCCGTGCATGCCCATATTATTTGGTTTTGTGCATGCGCAGCGTCAAAATTTGGTTTAACGCATGTGCAATGCTAACTTTTTTATTTATAAAGGCATTTAAAAGAAATTTTATATATAGGCATTTGGCATAAAGACAAATCTAACACCAGTTGCAAAATTTGGTTTTGCGCATGCGCAATGCCAACTTCCTTATTTACTGTCGCATTTAAATGAAATTTAATACATAGGCACTTGGAATACAAGCAAATCTAACACCAGCTTTAAAATTTGGTTTTTCGCATGCGCAATGGCAACTTTCTTATTTATGAAAGCAGTTAAACGAAATATATGTAGGCACCTTGAATGAAACTAAAACTAATACCGATTTCAAAATTGCTGTTTACGCAAGCTGTATGTTTTATTTATGAAGGTATTCAATGAAATTTCTAATGTAGACAATGCGCAATGCTATTTACGAAAGCATTTATAAAACGTTCCATATGTAGACACTTCGAATAAAAGTAAAACTAATGCCCATTTCAAAATTTGTATGTATTTGTATACACTCCACATTTTTCATAGTATTTTGTATAGACTTCGACGATAGGCGGCTCATTTGAAAGAGAATAGAGTAAGGATCTCGTGCCTACACGATATAATCTATAATTTTTAGGTTGGTATTAGCAAAATTTCACTTGAAAGTGAAATAGAATTGCAGCATGTAAAGCACATCTGTCAATTTCCAGAAAGTTATTTCACCTTCGACTTTCATGAAATAACTTTCAGCATGCAAAACAGGCTTTAGGTACTTTTTGCAATTGATCTCGATTATTCAGTAGGTAAAGCTTTAATGGCAAAAATGTGTCTTAAAGAAGTAAAATATGTTTACAAAATATATACCTACCTACGCTGATCGTTTTTATATTCTTGTCACATTTTAAATTTTAATACTGATTTGGGTAGTGCATTTGAAATATGGGATGTAAAAAGTGTCTTAAAAGTAACGACATCGGGTGAATTTACTGTTATTGGACGCTAGTAAATTTCTAGTCCGTTCGCCCTCTATAAACTACATCCTGTAGAGACAGAGGCAGTACACCCTGATCGAGTAGACGTCTTACTCAATCCACGTTATCGTTTTTTTGTTATTTGACGTTGCAAAAGTTGATGGGAGTCGCGATATTTGGTTTTTTAATTGAAGGATGCAAAAAATCGTGACTATTTCATGTGAGGATGCGTGCACCGCCTTGGTTAGTATTGTTCAAACGACATTTTCTAGAAACATTTCATTGTTATAGTCTTGTCGTGTCTAAAATACAAATTTGGCATTTCTAGGAGCTGTCTCATAAACAACCGTTTTCATGAATATTCTTACCTATGTTTATAAAACTTACTCACGAAAGTTTAGGTAAAGTCGTTCGGGGTCCCATAGGGGTTGCACGAAACGGGGAGAGTGTAAATGCATGTCACAACCAGGCACACGTATTAGGGACGTTTTAAGTATCTATTTAAAAATATAAATAAAGGGGAATAATATTGTGAGAAAGTTTTTAGTGAAACATGTGACCTAAATTCAGCTCCCATTCAATTTACCTATTCAAACGTAAACACCAAACTACAAAAGCTGCGCTAATTTGGTGTTCCAAGCTAGAGGGTAATATCGTAACTTAGCAACGCATTTTGTTATTGTATGCTGTGAATTTTAATATCTGTATTTCGAAGGTATTTGATACATTTTTACTTTACGTGTTTACCTTTTTTGTACATTTCCTTTTGAGTTAAAGCGTTGAATTCGTTATTCAATGGTTAAAGTTAAAATTTCCCAAGTAATTTTTCCCATATAGGTAACTATACCTCTGTAAGCAGGAGAAAACCCAGAAATGGGGAAGATCGTTAAATATGGGTAGAACCAAACACGATTGGCGCCACTTGACCCTAGTAAAAGGTTTTGATCTTGTCGGGAATTATAATTTGCATTCCGTCATCCGAAGTTTAAATGTTTGATATTTTGATAGGAGAGATGGTTTGCCACTTTTGCTTCTAATCTGAGGAGGGTTATTAACTTCATGGCTTCTAGAGATTCCGCCGGGTGTGTTTCAAAGTAATGAAATATCTACCTAGGTTCCCAAACGCAGTTGTATCGCGGTTTTGGTGACCTTAATCTTGCCACCCCCTCACAAATCTTGAGCATTCGATCCTCACCTAGGTTTCTTCCTGGTAGAATTAATGACAGCGCTGCTCTAAACGAGTTGATTGTTCCGAAAGCACATTTTGTTGTGATACTGATGTGTTTGTAGGAAATAAATCACTTCTTGGGTTGATGTCTGGAAGACGTGATTTCTTGAAGCTTCGCGGAAATTCCACCAATTTCTGAATGTACCTACTGTCATATTGTGAGATAGTAACTTCCGAAACTCGCAAGAAAGTTTATACAAGTATCGGCGGCGTTTACAGGCACACGGCGGGTGGGCTTCCTGGCTGTAAGAGGATAAAAAACATATGTGGCGACCATGCAATCCGCTACTATCATTGTTTCCAGGACGACGGAAATAATAACAGATAAATAAGCGATTAGAATGAACGTTGGCAATGTTTTTAAATAAATGTTTATTAGCAGCTTTAAATAAGCTTTGAGCTTTGAGTGTTAAACATAAAGAATTCCCACATTGATGATACCCTTAGCTTCATCTGTATTAATTTTTTGTAATACTCTTAGGATGATTGAAAAAGGGGGAAAACGTAGAAATTTAAGTTACTCCATGATAGAGTAAAGACGTCGCAAGCTACTGCCTCTGGATCAAATTGCCACACCTTTCGCATTTGCGATTGGCTATGGAGGCGAACAAATCAATATCTGGTATTCCCAGTTTGTTCTTTATTTTCTCCAAGACAGAGTCCGCTAAAGACCACTCTGGACGAAGGGCGCGAGATTCTGTATCCCCTTCCCAATTGTCCTTGGTGTGAATATAGGAAGCGAATATCCAAACATTTCGTTCCTCGCACCATTGCCAGATCTCCCTGGCTAGTTTGTTCAAGTGTTCGTACTGCACACTGCTCATGCGATGGCGGCGGGTCGGTGGTATTGTAGCATCTGACAATGAGAGCATGATTCTTTAAACTTCTAGCGAAACATTTTAGCCTTAGGAGGATGGCCTGGAGTGTCAGAAAATGAATGCGGGGTAATTGTTCGCTTGCCGACCACTCTCCCCGCGCCCTTTTGTTTCTACAACATGCCCCCCAGCCTGTGGACAATGCTTCCGAGAAAAGCTCGAAGTTGGAGAAATCCCCGGTTGGGGTCATTATTCACCGCCTGGACATTTTTCTCCCAACAATCAAAATTTGAGGAGTCCGGAACGGGCATGGATGTATCTGAGTCCATGTTATTCTCTCTCAAAGCCTTTAGGTTATATGCTTCGAAGAGTTTTGTGTATACAGCAGTACTTCACTGCTGGATATACTGAAACTACAGTGACTTTATAGAGACAGTGGCGACAACTCATCACAATCTGCCATATTGGAGCTAAAAATTTGATTGTAGGATCAATATGTATACCTTGCCGTGTCAAATTGTGAACGTTAATACAAGAGATGCCGTTGGCACTAATATGGGTTCATTTTAGTGAAAGAATAAGGTGTCGAAGCTTGCCCGTAGGACATAGTGTTTTCCTATAAAATTCTTTATAATTGTATCCTTCTACAACTGTAAGGTAGGTACGCCACTGGAACAGGAAACTACTGTCCGCCATTTGCAAAAGCCATCGGGGTCGCACGTATATTGTTGATATTCTCCTTCCTGGTATTCTTTATTCATTGATCATAGCTCATTGGCACCTAACATGGAGCAAACAGTAGCATATGATAGTGTCATAGTAATAACCTATCATTTCTATATTCAAAGATAATAATAACATTCTTTGAAACAGGTACAATAGTAATACTGTTTAAATCTGTGGTAATACTTACATTTAACACAAAAGATATGGTGTCTTATTTAAGCAGGTGCAAATACCTGTTAATTTATTGGACTGGCCACTAAGTTACATTTCTTCATTCTCATAGTTAATGAAAACTAAACCTATATGGAAAGTAATACACGACGCATGTTACTTTACTGAATATCGAATTACTTTAGAATATCTTCCTGGTACATTCCAATAATCCACAGCTCGGACTCTGTACCATCCTTGAGTCCATTCTTCCACTGAGTTGTTACCTAAGAAAAGAGTGGTAAAATATCGCAAGTTTATCAGTAACCACGATATCATAATTTCATACGTCGCTGTCCAAAAAGTTTAAATGAAAACAGAACCTTGGGCAAAAGTTAATTAGCAAAGCAGTATGTTACTCTGTACACCAATTATCACTATGTCACCATTTATTTAAGTAATCCCAAACGTACCTAATCGTTCATGTGAAAACGAGATTTCCCAAATTGTAAGCTGTCGTTGCCAACATTATTAATTGGTAGATATTTCGCAATTGCGGTTAAACTGTTTCTCATATATAATGCCCGAACGTATATACGGTACCTTCTACTGCATGATGATAAGACAGGAAAATCGTATCCCTATGATTAATTCTTCTAAATTTCGTACGATTACAAGACTCAACTTGTGGTCGAAATTCCACTTCGTATGTTAAAATGCATCTGAAAATAATAAAAATCTTCAATGAGAGTCCTTGTTTTTTTTAACGTTTGGTATATGCTATTTGTGGTATAGCCTTATTATATACCAGGGGTTAATCGGGTTAACTTAATCCGTTCTAATTTAATAAACACCACACCTGACAACGACTGAATACCTGAGCTATTCTCTACACTTAGTTATTCAGTGTAGTAAATCATAATGTGAACATACGCTTACACTGGTGCCTTCGGCCTTGTCATCATCATGATTAATCGACCAATTCGGTTGATTTTCTAAATTATTTTGCTTATGCTAACTTTAATTCACAATATCCCCACAAACACTAGATTTCATAAGGTCTCTCAGGAGAGCGTCTGCTATCTGGATGATTATGCGAAACTTTTCGATATTGATTACGACAAAAGGAAATGCAAATGTTATTACAATCTTTGATATAACGTACATACGTAATGTATTGAAAGTAAGTAGGAAATATGAAAATACTAATGCAAAGAACCTTTTAATATAAAACTTATAGGTATTTTATATTCAAATCATTTTTTATAGCCGCAATCATAAATAAACGTTTCTTTAAAAAGTTATATACCTACTTATAGGTTTGGACTGTTCCCCTAGACATATAGTCTCTTTGGTTTGATTAACCAAATTTTTTCGTATATACAGGCCGATTCAAATTCCATGGTCACCATGGGAATATCGGAAAATATGCGTGATAGGTAAATAGTTTAAATGTGGCAAATTTGCGCATTTTGATACTTAACAAAATGGCGTTTTGAAATTTATTGAAAAAAAAAAGGAAATGGCTTCAATAAAAAAAAAACAGTTGCCACGTATTTTTTTTTATTGTTGCCTCAGGGACGTAGGATCTGTAGATCAAGGAGGGCATTAAATAAATAGATTTCTCATATCTCGATTTCAGTGAGCGACAGTAAGCAACCTGCCAGCTAGCTCTAATAGACTTTCTTTATTACAATAAACGAAAATACTTTGAAAGGAAACTTAATAACAAAATCAGGCAAAAAAATTATCGTAACCAAATGGCTCATGAGAACGTAAATTCCAAGATATGATCATATCAGGGTTACACCAAATTCCTTTCCTTTAACGTAAAACACAACTTTTCTACATAGGTAACAATTAAGTAGGTAACAGGTGGAAATCAAATTAAATCTTCTTGGTAAACAAAGGGGACGACACAAACAGATATCTTATCTGGGTGGTAGAGGTTCTGCAACGGCTATGGGCATTTAACTGGCGTTTGACGAGAACGGCGCTCTAATTACGCCCCAAACTAATGACGTGACGTCTGCGTCTTAGTTAAATTGAGTGAGTCCAGAAAAAGAACCCTAAAAGGTATCCAAAAAAAATGTTAATAACCTATTACAGTAGTAGGTGGTAATTACCTCGGTGATCTTGAGGGTTTCCACTCAAAGATTATTAGGAACCTATTTATGTGTGATGAATTGGTTCGCCTAAACAGTTTTGCATGATTGTGTTGCTAAAATGCAAAATTCTAAATTAATTTACATTTTCGGTGATATAAAACACTTACGTGACGTGATTCCAAATAATCCCAAAAAGGAATATTAAAGTAACAATCAAACAGGGTAATTACTTTAATTGGTACAGAAGTCACTGAAATGATCCCAAAATTTTCGGCAATGATTTATTAATCAGTTTGACTTCAAGGAATTCACGTACGCAACATTTATCAAAATTGTTCTCTCTATCAGCGCACATGCAAAATCGTTGTAAGCGAACATAGGCGGGCCATAAAATGGGCATTGTTGGGTTAAAGAGTAATGCTTATTTAGTTACTAACCATTTTGGACCGTTACATGGTTAACCGGAGACGAAACGTCCTCGGAAACGTCAGACTTAAAATTTAGAAATACCATCATGTAGAGGGAAAAAGGTGGCCATAATTTATTTTGAAATTTATTTTTAAATAACTTCAGTACTTCCCGGATATCTCTGAAAGTAGTCGACATTTTTTCAGTTTCCAAACAGCATTGTGTTAAATATCAAAATACGCAATTTTGCGAAATTTAAACTACGAATTTGAATCGGTCTGTATATGCAACCAACATAGTTTCTGATTCTGAAATGAATTATTCAAATACGGAACAATCTATTTGTAATTGCAATAAAAGAAACGAACACTACGATACTAATACAAATAAGATGAATGGACTCAGGAACGATATAAATAGTCTGTAGGTATATTTTACATTTTTGACAAATATTTGATATTTACAGATATACAGCACAGACGTTGTAAGGTAATTACCTACATTTGTTTGTAATATTGGAATTATAGCTTCTGTAATAAGACATAATTATTGATTAACGATTAGTGATATTCAGGTGCGAGTTTACGTTAATAAAAAATATTACAGTTTAGAAAACAAACCAGATAGGCATTTGTTGACAATAAGAAATTAGAGAGAATTAATAATTCTCCCTAATTTCTTCGATGTCCACTCCATTTTGAGTTCAAGAAAGCATGGATACCCTCGATTCTTTGTTGGCAATATTTGGTACTTTAGGTTTTAGCAGAAAAACGTTGTACTACTTCTTACCCTGAACGAGCAGACGAACAAACCAACGGACTCTTATTTGACTTCCAGGTTTACAATATTGGTATCCCGAGCCACTAGTGTTCCAAGGAAGACTTTTACGCAAATAACGTTATAGCAGATTTTTCGTGATAGTTGCAAATGTTTACAAAATACAGAATCGAATGCATAACAAACTGCTTTTCAATATCTGAAAACCTGAAGAAGCAATGTCAACTATAATAGCGCATATTTTCCTTTCGGAAGGAAAGATTCCAACGAGTTCAGAATATCCGTAAACAAGTTTCTGCTAATAAAATAATAGTTATTTATGCAACAAGTAAGTAACTTATTTTTTTTTTACGAGAAAGAAGATTTGCCGCACGAGCCGAAGGCGAGTGCGCAAACCCGGCGAGTGAAAAAACATACTTTGCTCATGAAATGCATACAAAACTGCAAGTATGCAAGTAGAACTTCTTCTATCACAGTTTCTTTGTCTTTGAACTTATTTATATTTATTTATTTTTCATTATCTTTCCACCATTTTGTTCCAATATGGCGGAATTGGCTGATTCACGAACTTGACCAGGATATTTATGAGATCCACCAACCTTTAAAGGTTCATAATTACAAAAGTTAGAGTGTTCCTTGGAAGTGATATATATCTAAACCTATAAACCTATAAGCCCATACACCTATAAATATACTGGTACCATTACAATAGGCAAATAGATAGAAATCTATCTAAAAGGTATGAATCAATTGATTATACTTTTTAAATTGACACCCTATTTGAAAAATTAAAATGTAAACTGTACATATATGGATATAGATATTTTTAAACAAAAGAGAGTTATCAAACCACAGATGCTAAAAATATTTCCAAGTTTCGAGTTTCATGTTTTCTCGCCTTACAATAGGTACTTAACGAAAGGGGTAAATTAAATTTGATAAAGAGCAACTGAGTTAGTTTATTAAAAAGTTTGAAAGCAACCTCCTTGTACCAATTAACTTACATAACGTGTTCATTAAGACCGAAACAAGTAACAATTGTAATTAATAGAACCAACTTACTTTGAACGAATTTTGGAATCTTTCCATACAAGTAAGACCTCATTCCTGGTAATATTGTGCGCTACAAGGCGTGTTACACGACCGAGAGGTTGTGAAGTTCTGGAGCAGATGTTTATAAGGGCAACCGAAGGTAATGCTAAATTCATTTGTAAAGTTAAATTTAAAATAGAACGTGGCCCTTCAAGTCGATACGGTTCCTAAAAAATTGCTTTTGCACCTTTCCACATACCTAAAGCTCACGTTATACAAACCTCGCAATGGCGCATTAAATTTCGCAATTTCATCGCCGGAAAAACCGGCGAACCGTGCTTTCTCCACGATAGAAATGGATTGGTAATTTTATTATCCAAAACATAAATAACGTATTTACATTCATTGTTCGGAAGGTTGTTAAAATTGACACGAATTTCCTTGACATTTTTATCTTCCCTTTCATCATTCACGTACGTAATCAATAATGAAATCAGATGGGATTCATTTTTGTTTCTTATCGAGCGTGTGGCTAAAAACTGAACAAAAGGATCCGGCGGCGTTACATTTTCCTTTAGGTATTCATCCCCTAACAAGGATAACAAGCCCATTACGGAGTATGCGGGCTTTCTAATAAATTGAATATGAGTGGGGTTGGTGTTATTCATTTGAAATCTGAAAAATGATTAATTTCAGGATGGGTCTTGTATAAAATACATACCATACATGTAAACAGCTGAATAATTCAACCCTACACTAATAACACATTTAAATGAGTTAATAAATATGGTAATGTGTAAGTGATTTTTTCTTAAATTAATAATTAAAATTCCCGTATTTTGCGCAGTAACCGTACAAAATTTGTTTAATAAACATGCTCCTGAATGTTAATTACAACGCAATGTTGCCCTGAATAACTTAAAAAAAGGTATCAGATCCACAGTAGCTGTTATTGCAAAATTACCAAATCAAAAGTTTTCTAGTTTGAAATTTTGATGTAACCTCCGTTATTGATATGAGAACGAACCCCCTACTCGTATTCTTGCCACGAAGGTGGTTGCTGATATGTGTATTAAACTACCTACTTCTTAATTCTTATCTTAGTTTACAACAATTATTGACAATTTGCACCTTGCTAAAAGTGTTCGTTGAGTAAAAAAGTAAGGATTATAATTAAGAAAACCATTATCAAAACTCAACAACTGCACAGGAATCTCCATTTTTACAACCAACTCTTTGTAAAAATCGATAACAATCTTTGCGATCATAGCGGCATATCTTACATCTCCGCGCCAATCCAAACTCCTTGACCAATTACTCAGTACATCTGCTTCACTGAAATGAGCTTACATGAGCAATCAATTTAAGGAAATAAAGAATAACGTAACTCGTTCGATACAGGTATTCCTTTTAAGTTGGGAAACTTCGAATACAGAATGTTCAGCAACTGAATACTGTCGTGTGAAACAGCATTAGCACTACCGTTACCTTTTTTGTGGAAGGAAATATATTGGAAAGGGCAACTGCGTCCCTTCAAGTTACACATCTCCAATGAACCCCAACACAGAGGGTGCTTACCAATACTTTTAAACAATCCTGCAGGCCCACCGAATTTCAGCTTTCCTTGTGCGCCGCCCGCGCGAAATGCAGCCCTCAGAGCAACTTCACAGGCCTCAATGTACGAGAGATATTCTGCAACAAGAATATGGTTATACTTTATGAATCACTTGCATGCTCAGTTATAGCTTACGTGAAAGTGTGAAATTAAGAATGTTATAATTTCTCAGATCCGGTTCGTTCCAAGATTCAAATCTCCATTTCTTCACGTACCTCGCACCATACCGATCTAAAGTGTAGGTAATCAAAGTTTAGAATAACAGAGAGCACATTATTCAATGATTCGATGGGTCGATTTAGTGAAATTTTATTAAAAATGCTTATTGTAGCCCCGTCACTCTATAGGAATTAGGAAATATAGAAAAAATAATTCGTGCAGTTCCAATTTTTTCGGAAATGTGTGGTTGAAACTTCTCTGATGATTGTGTAATAAAGTCCCGATCCCGAGCGATTTCGGTGTCGCCGGAGGGAAGAGAGGAGGTTGGAGGTACAGTTTTGCGGTTTTTCGGCTATAACTCGAACATGGGGTCTCAGGAAATAACTTTGTTATCAAAATCTAAAGCTCATAAAAGCTACTGGAGCTTGAATGTAAGCAATTTTTAAAAAACTCAAGTTTTCGGTCGAACCTGTCCTCTGGTTCATTACCTGGTAACATTTAACGTACAAAGTGAAAGGTTGTAAGGAATTAAATTTCCTTCAAGAATCATCGGCATGTGTGATGTTTATGCTTCGACAGTTCGACTACAACAAAAATGAAGTGAAATTTGTTGAGCGAAGGTAATGTCCAATTCAGGGGTTACGTACAGTTCCTCTCCATGAGGATCGGCTACGTCCTCTTCATCTTTTGCTAGGATTGTTCAAACACCTTTCGTGGCAGTTGGCATAGGCAATGTTGCAAAGTATGCAAGCCTTCTTGCACCGCAAACTAGCCACGCAGTTAGTAGTAGAACAACGAAAAAAAAATGGGTTGTAAAATTTCCAAGATCAGCAGTGGTTGGAGAAATCACTCCCTCCAGAACAATGAGGTTGGAAAAGAGGTGACGATGGACACCTTCACTCAGTAAAGAACACAGCTCCGCCAGCAGTAAATTTTGCAAGTCATTTTTTGCCGTTGTTCTACTACCAACTGCAAGGCAAGCTGTGGGTGAAAGAAGGCCGGCATATTTAGCCCCATTACCTGTTCTGACCACCAGGAGAGCTGTGTTACATTTTTGTTGTAGGTGGAGTCGAACTGTCGAAGCATAAACATCACACATGTCAATGATTTTTGAAAGAAATTTAACTCCCTACATCCACTTGTACGTTAAAAGTGAGCAGGTAATGAGCTAGAGGAAAAGTTCACCTGCAAGAGCCCGTAGCTGACAAACAATGTAAAATGTATTGAAACAAATTGTAGAAAGTTTTATGAACTTTCGATTTTGATGAGAAAATGTTTACCCACGACCCACCATTTTCGAAATGTAGCCAAAAAACCGCAAAACTGTACCTTCAACCCTCTCCCCCGGCGGCACTGAAATCGCTCGGATCGTTATTACACAATCATCAGGAGACATTCAACCACCCATTCCCGATGAAATTGGAGTTACACAAATTATTTTTTCTATTTGCCGTTTTTTGGCATAAAATGACTGGACTATTGCACAATGAGCAGTTATACAATTTGTTCTACAAAAAAGGCCCAAGGCTATAGCGACTTTAATTATGAATGTACGAAAAATTTGTCAAATATAATTTGACATCCGAACCCTCTCCGAATTTCCCTCTTAAGAAATTATACAATTATGTGATTATTATAGTGATCTTGTAAGGTTTTTAACTTTTAGAAATATTAAAGACACCCTGTATAAACATTATCTTAAAACTTATAAGTTATAATAAATGTCAATTACCTATATATCGATTGGCAATTGCGAAAGTAATATTATACCAAAAATCATATGTATATGGATCATAATATGAGTTTTCATCATCTGTTTGTGGTAAACCCATCAACTCAAATCCAGGAACCAAATTTTCTTGACGAATCCAATCTAAAAAATCGTCTAAATATGTGAAATTGTACACAGGTTCCCCATTCAAATGTCTGAAATTAAGGAAGTATATTAATCGTCAAAATCGTTTCAAATATCGAACAGGTGAAATATTGTACTTACTTTGTTATCATGTAAAAGTAGACAGACAGTAGGAAATTCCTATAGGAAATCCATATGTCTACTTCTACATGAATATCACTGTATACATCTTGATTTGTGATAGGGTCTGTTTTTCTTCAGCGAAACTTATATAGGAGGTTATGAATCAAATAAGCGGAAGTAATCGAGGCAAAAAATAGTGCCGGTGTACCTATTACAGCTATTACTTATTAACGAGCTCCTAGCGAGTTTATAATTTTGCGGTGTCTGTCCGTCCGTCCGTTATTAGCACGATAACTCATAAACGAATGGACCGATTACGATGAAATTTTGCAAGTGGATTCTTTATCAAATTTGTAGATTGAAGTTCGTGAATTGGCAATGTAGACCAAAAAATAAAGGCCCTTTTGACATCTCCGTTAGTTATGAACCGAATTGCATGAAATTCAATATGCGCATAGCTTTAGTCATATAAAACACAATTCCAAAAGTTGAGCATCTCGACCATTTACAGACCGAATTGCAAACTTTCTTATTTATGAAGGTATTTAAATGAAATTTGATACATAGCCACTTGGAATAAAACCAAATTTAACGCCAATTTCAATTCGTTTTGCGCATGCGCAGTGCCAACTTTCTTATTAATGGAGGCTTTCAAATAAAATTTGATACATAGTCACTTAGAATAAAAGCAAATGTGGCGCCATTTTCCAAATTTGGTTTTGTGTAGGATGTGCAGTGCCAACTTTTTTATTTATGGAAGCAATTAAATGAAATTTCATACATTACACTTTAAATAAAAGCAAAACTAACATCAGGTTTAAAATTTGGTTTCGCACATGTTATAGCCATACCCAGGAGCTCTTTTGCTATATTTGTTTAATTTATTAGTTTAATGACTTTCCTTCCTTTTATCAAAGAAATTCGTGCTATCTATCTTTTTAAGTGCCACTTTCTTCCAGTAACACTCACTTATTAAACATTTGTGTCGAGTTCCAAATTAAGCAGCAGATTTTATAATCATCCAACTTGTTACCTATCAGCAAAAATAATATGAAAGCCTATGGAAGTGGTACCTATATCTCATTATACTCTTCTACGGTTCGAAGATGAAGATGAATCGCAATCCAATTGAGTAAAGTTTTAGTCGAATGGTAATAACCGTGTTTATAATAGGAGGGTTATTAATTTTAAATAAGATATCAGTACTTCTTGAATCAATGGATGAAAAAGGTAAACTAGTCATATTTTGGATACCGTGTGAACTATTTTATGATCTGCTTAAAAGCACATCGACAGGCAATTAAGAGAATCGCATGTTACATTCAATCACATTTTTCGATATTTCTCTTTTAAGATAGGCAAAACTACAACACCGTTTGGCTACTCAATTTTCAAAAATGTTAAAGGTTTGGTAGGTACGTCGTATGGACAATATTTTGATACATTCTCCTTCAGAGTAGGAATTTTGAGAACTTCATGCAGAGGTTTTAAATGTGAAATAAGGACAGAGCCCTTAATATTAAATAGCTATACTAAGAGATATGATCGCCTCGTCTGGGCTTTTTTTTCGTAATTATTACTGACAAGGGATTATTTTTATACTACATGTTTTATGAAAGGGAAATATAACGACCCGTCGGGGCGGAAGGGTCAAAAGTATGCGTTTAATGCACTGTTATTTTCTTTACTAGAGGCATATATGGTTAAAATTTCAAAGAAACATCTCCATAAACAAAAAAGTTGGCGTTGCGCAGTTCGCACATGAGCAAATTTAATTTATGCTATAGGTATGCAATGTTTGTTTTTACTAGAAGCGTTTATGGTTAAACTTTAGAGAGAGATTTTCATAAGTAAAAAAGTTGGCATTTTGCAGTCTGCGCATGCGTGGATTTGATTTTTACTATGTGCGATATGTTTGCTTTTCCTAATGACATTTGTAGTTCTCAATTTTTACCACATGTGATATGTTTTTCTTTACTAGAAGCATCTATGGTTAAAATTTCAAAGAACTATCTTGATAAAAAAGAAGTTGGCACTGACTGTGCATGCACACATCTAAGTTTTGCAATATCAGTTATGTTTGCCTTTAGCAGAAGCATCTGTGATTAAAATTTCAAAAAGATATCTCGATAATAACAGTTGATATTGCGCATCCTGCGCATGCGCGCATTAATCTGATGTTTACAATATGCGATACGTTTGCTTACATTAAAAGCAACTGTGGTTAAAATTTCAAAGAAATATCTCCATAAATAAGAAAGTTGCCATTGCGCAGTCTGCGCATGCGCACAACTGATTTTTACTATATGCGATATGTTTGCCTTCACTTTCACCAGAAATTTCAACAAAATATATTAATAAATAAGGAAGTTGACATTGCGCAGCCTGCGCATACGCACATTAATGTAATGTTTACAATATGCGATACGTTTGCTTACACTAAAAACATCTTTTGGTAAAATTTCAAAAAAATACCTCCATTAATAAGAAAGTTGCCATTGCGCAGGCTGCGCATGTTCACTACTTGTTTTTACTATATGCGATATATTTGCCTTTACCAGAAGTAGGTATCTGTGGTTAAAATTTCAACAAAATATATGAATAAATAAGGAAGTTGACATTGCGCAGTATGCACATCAGCAGTTTAATTGTCAAGATTTTTCTTGGCTCAGGTGCTAGAGCTATATGCTACCGAATATGCAAAAAGAAGGAACTTAATATCTTGAAAACTGTGAGACGGAAGGACAGAGAAAGTGGCTGCAATAGCGCACCCAACTTCGTTGTAAAATGCGCTAAAAATAATTGTTTTGAAATGGTTTAGTAGGGGCTGTGGAAGTAAACTACGCCCTGGATAGGTATACATTATACCATTGAATTTATAAATTCAATGATTATACATTATGTAGAAAATTATGTTTCATCTTCCATTTCGCAAAATATGTTAATAAAGAAAAATTATCAAAAACGAGTAGAATAGTTTTACGATACCTACTGAAAACCCAAAAAAAGCCTCCCCGTGACAATGTTTTTACACATTGCCGTGACCAGGATTCGAACCTGGGTTACTACGGCCACAACGTAGGGTCCTAACCACTAGACGATCACGGCTACCGAGGCTTGTTAGTTTAATTTCTGGAGGTCGATATTTATGTTCCTAACCTTGAATTTATTATTTGTATTTAATGTTTTGTTGTATCATTGTGTGAATTCATAATAATACATATACCAATTTTAGGAAATAAAGTAGGTATATCAAAACACAACCGCTTACCTAATGCATATTAAATTCAATAACCAATGAATCCGAACATGCTTAATGGAATTGTTAGGTAGAGCTCCTATGTGTCGCAAATTCAACTTTTCATCATTAGATAACAGAAACTCACGAGTCTTATTAGCAGCACAAAGAGGGCTAAAACGTAAAAGATTTACCTACTTGAACACGCACCTACACTACAAGGAACGTACAACTCACCACAAACCGGTACTTTGCCAAAAGTGTTTTAATGGCAATCCGCTCTCCCTGAACCCTATTTCTATACTTGTAAAATTATTAAAATTGTATATAATTAATACACCCAAAATGTAGTAAATGTGCATCTTTCTGATGATGTACAAAACACTTTCAAATCGTATAGGAAGTCTACTGCATATGTACCTAACACTTGCATGCAGTAGAGGATGTTTAAAAAACACTCTCTACATTACATTAAGGCTTTGTGATTTAATACTTGGTTATCATGGATAAGTAACCTTTGAAAAAGTGATATTTTATAAAAGTAGGGTAGGTACACCTATAGGTATAAATCTTAAAGCCCCGGCCCAATATGCATACAAACTTCACGACGAGATTCGTATAAGATCCCTCGTTGCATATGCGTTAAATATAGCTTATTTCAGATCACCTTTTATTTCTAGAAATAGGCCGATTATGAATAAGCAATGATTACATATAAATACGAAATAAATGAACAATATAAATATAGATGATCATGGTCTTAAGTCTATCAAGGAAAATTTCTTGATATACCTACCTACGAAGCATGACGTATACTTCACAAAGGAGTACAAAACCATTACGTCCAATCGCAATTTCAAATTTTCAACGATACAATATTGATTTTCTAAATGGGATGCATGATTCACTTTTGAAAATAATGGGGGGTTTGATCATTGAAAAAACAAAAATTATGGATAAATTAATGGCTATCTAAACTTTTATTTACAGATATAAAATTTTTTCATATGTAAAGTTACATTATAACAATTTAAAAATAGCAGGTAAGTAATGTTACAAATTTATTTAGTTTATTATCTATTTGAATGTTTATTTTATGTTTATTTCCTTCTGTACTTCCAGTAATCTAATAAATGTCACTTATTATATTATACACCTAAAAAATTATGGCAAGTAATAGTTATTTGTGTACCAAGGCCGTAAAAGTGATCTTTTTCGGCCGAAGCTGCTGTTTGTGGCCGAGGCGGTAGCCGAGGCCGCAATTCAGATTAGGCCTAACAAATCACTTTTGGCCAAGGTGCACACAACATTTTTTAGGCGATCATCAAAAAAGAATTCAAAAATTTGCTCATAAACATTGTGATTATGCAAAATGGTGTGAAACATTCCTACAAGTCCGAAAATGAAAAAAACGCACGTGGATGGCCCAATCCTTGATGGGGCGAGACCAGATAGACGCTTTGTATCAAACAGATTACTGTTTCTCAAACATCAGTTTCAAATAAGTACAGTTTGACAGATGTGTACAATAAAGTAAAGTTTGACAGAAGCGTACAATAAAGTGAAACTTTATGGCCGCAAAAGAGACCATAAAATCAACGTTTTTGTGATGATAGCCTAAAAACTTTCATTTTTCCATTATACCTAAAGCTATTGATCTATACTCAAACTAACATACAATTCATAATAAACAATATGCTTCACCTATTTGCCTTAGCAGCTTCAAAATGAGTAACAAATCTTAAAGATAACACTGATAGAGCAAAACACTTTGCAGTTCTTTAATCCTAGCTTCTAGTTATAAACATGAAATAATTTAAATTTTTGCGCGATCGGTCATTTCTGACTATTTACCATGGGTGTTTCCATGACAGTACGTAGAATTTACCAGTTGCTATGATTACGACGACGCCAAAATTACTTACCGATCTAAAAACAGAACAGCAAAAATACTTACCGACGCCTTTTTAAAAATCAACAGTCTTACATTACATTTAATCTTTAATTATTGTTAGGTACATTAAACGTACAATTTGTGCTGTTGTTTCCTATAGCAAGACGCTCATAAAGTCATAAAGGAAGTGCAAAGCTAGTAAACTACATCAGACACATGCACATTTTTATGAAATTATTAATTTCAATTTTGACAAATAAACTGGTTACCTAGTGATGTACACCATACCACTTCGATCATTTCGATTTATTCTGCTCGTTAATTTCTTAGTGCATATTTATATTGGTTGAATAATTTTAATTTCGATTGCGCAAAAAATGTTATAAGCACGTCGAACGTTAAGGGTTACCGTTCTCAGACAATAATTGGAGTCGTCGCTTTGCTCCTCCTCCAAACAATTGTCTTCGAACGGTAAAAATCCCTTACCGTTCTCCATACTTAATATACTATTATTTATAATTCAAAATATAACATATAAATTACTTAACAATCATAAATTACGTTACAATAAATACCGCTTATTGCCTTCTTGACTAGAAATGACAGCTATTGCTAGTTTAATTACTACAATTATCTATCACCACTCCAACCAAGGGGGTTGGTTAATTTCATGTACCGGTGTATACGTTAAATTTATTGGCAAGTTAATTGTGGCGTAATTTTGTTGGAGTTTCTCTAATGTTTTCCTAATGATTAAACCATTTTTTCCCATTAAAAATCCAGCCGGAATATGAGCCTCTTCTACAGAATCATCATCTATCATTTCAATGTAGTAATCTTCAACAGTTTTACGTATATCAGTTATTATAACAGCTTTAGCGCCCGCCTTTTCTGCCACAATAGTTTTTACTTTAAAAGAACATTCTCTACAATGCAAAGTTTTCATAATAAGTCATTTTTAAGATCACTTACTGACCCTCTTTCGATTAAGGCCACGTTGCCTTTAATAATGTGAACATTATCAGGTGTGTCACAACAAAACATCGGTTGTACAGGTACAAGAAATACATTTTGAGCATTAAACGATGCATTCTACAAGAGGGTTATTAAAATGTAATCTACAAGACGACAAAGACTAACAAATGGAGCACCAAAATCTTTCGCTGGTCTAATTCGATATGTATATTCCAATTCAACCGGATCTATAATTTCGAAAAATATATCACCGCCAATTATTTCTGCAGTTGTTGCACCATCAAGCATGTGTAGATTGTTTGCTAAAACCATCTTATTGTTAAAATAGGTAGGCAGTACAAAAGTACTTACGTCCTAACGTTACACATTTAAATAGACTAATGAAAAAGGCAACATGTAATAAAACCAATTCTGAGGTTGTATTTGTTAGCATAATCACTACCAATAGACTATTAAACACATAAATTAGGGAATGTATCCGATCACAATTGCCAAATCATTTGTGGAAACCTTAACGCCAGAGATACAAGATGAACGCCTAAAAGTTAAGATTACTAAAATTACGTAGTGTAATTTGTAATATTTACTAAAACTGATTAAAAGAATCACGACAAATAAGATGTTTAAAAAATTTTAGGTTAATATCAGCTGATGAGCTGGTGGTTTTTGTGCCAATCACTTTTGTCGGTAACTCGGTACCCGTTGGTCTATGCGACGTTGGCAGTTATTGGCGGCCGTACTAAAGGTACGATTACGAATCACGCGGATGGAAAACGGTAGCGGCAGGACGGCCGACAGCACATGCTGTCGGGCATCACACTTTAAATCTGCAATTGTTGAGTAATCAATCATAATCATCTTCACCCCCCCCCCCTTCGCCAAAGGTTCAAACACCACTGGATGCATGCAATTTAAAACATTATAGTATATTATATACCGCGGGACTGAAGTAGTACTTTTAATCCCGAAAGTAAAGCCATAATTTACCTGAGGGATTAAGACCACTACTTCAGTCGCAAGGTATATACGATATTTTTCGTACTTCCGAAACTGAAACACTTAATATGTATGGAGTTTGAGAACGCGTTCTTTCAAAAAATCGCTGCTCAACAAGTTACCATAGGAACTGTCATTGCTAGTGTCATAATTTTGGTGGTGGGTGACAAACGTGTATTTGATATTGATAAAAAGCAACCAAAGTAGGTAAGAGGAATTGATACCACCGAAATCCAAAAACTATATGAACAGCAGTACGATGCGTTTAAGAAGTAGTGCCGCATACAAAATGTGGAAGAACCTACTGAAATTGCTTTGTTAGTAATTTCATCCTTCCGGGATTTTCGTAAAATTTAATCCCGGCGGGACAAAAAGTGACACTTCAGTACTTGTCATAATGGAGTGAAGTTGTCACTTTAGTCTCGGAAGTACGAAAAAGCATATTCTATTCCCATTTTGATACTTTTACTATGGCTACTGGCTATTATGAACAGTATAAATGTAACATTTAGGATTGAAATCACATAAGTATTTGTGTGCCACAGATTTAAATGCAATAATAATATTATATATAATCAACGTTTACTGTGACGTAAATTTAATTCATTTATTTATTTATAAAAGCCCGTTTGTAACGATCACTTATTTAGTCAAATTTTTAGTCCTTTTTTTCTTCAATAAAGATAATGCTATCCTAAAAATGTCATAAATGATGAAACTGTATGTAACATTCCATAATATTGTCAATTTTTTAGTACAGTAAACATTTGTACATAACCTGTGTTATGTTAAATCTGGAGACTAAATATTTATCTTCTGTAAACTAAGGTCTCTATCTACTGTCTACCTATAGTGAGCTTTAAAAATGAATATAAATTTAATTTTAATTGTACAAATTCCCTATAATCTGTCAAAAGTTACTAAGAAATTGAGGGAAAATAGGACAGGTTCTAAACATTACAAAAATAGGACAACTTTCAGTTCCTAAAATAACTACCAAAACATTGATCAAGGTTGATGTATGAAATGTTCATTTTTTTTGTTCCTAAAAAAATTATTTAAAAATTGACTAAATAAGTGATCGTTACAAACGAGTATTCAATTCAATATTAATGAATTTAATTTATAACAGTTTAAATAGATTGATTTATAACAGTTAATTATTGTTTATCAGATACTTGTTCCCAAATTTATAACATATATAGGTTTATAAGATAACACTCGATCGTGAATGTCAGCATTATCACTTCGGCGTCGATGTTGGATATTCCATTAAATACGCTTCAATCTGCTTATATAGCACCAGCGGCGCCGCCAGGGGATGGGCCGAATGGGCTCTGGCCCAACTGTAGTATTGCTCACACATACACCCTTCTCCAGATCCAGATCCAGATTTGTGATCAGTGACATCAGTGTAATTTCGCTACTCACGATAAGCATAAGCTCAGCGACATTATTATTCACATTCAAGGATGTCACGTGCAGTCTATGCGATGCGGTACGCCACAATTAAACAGTAAAAAAAAATTTATTAAAGCAAAACTCATCGAAAAATACCTATTGTTTAAGGTCAATATATGTAATTATGCCACGAATAGTAAAGCTGTGCTAAAACATAATCGACGTAAGGGAATGTCGGCGAGTTGTAAAGTTACACGAGTGCGCTAGAAATTGAATGATAAATACTGTGATCTTTATTTGCAATTAGAAAATTAAGTTAATTGCGTATTCAAGCTAATTCAAGACGGCCTCGAGTTCTTAAGAAAAAGGCCTTTCAGGTAGGATAGGATTAATGGGTTATAATTTTTAAGTCTCAAAAAATGACAGGATTCACTTTCAAATTAGTGCAATTACACTTAAAAACCGGCTAGAATAAAGCTGAATTTATAGTTCCGTACCCGCAACGCCGTACCGTAACGTTTGGAATTAAACCTTACTTATTGCGCGTGAACATTTATAGTTCGCGTTAACGTTGCGTTAGAACGGTTACGGTAGGTAGGAAATGCCCAAATCTTAAGCCGGATTTATAGTTCCGTAGCCGTAAGAACGTAAGAACGGAACCGTAAAATCTTACGTTAACGAAAATTATACGATTTATAGTTACCGTAGTGGTAAGAGATGAGCTTGCGCATTAGTGCGAAACGAGATCTGTCATTGTATGTCATCTGTCAGTAAGAGTAACGTGCATGCAAAATAATAATAACCAACAAAGTGTCAATAATTATTGTAAATAAACGAAACGAACGTCAGGTATACTCAACTGTTTGAATTATCCGAGTACTGCCGACGACAAACGCGTTAGCACGATTTACCGTAAGAAATAAGATTTGGGCACTTCTTACGTACCGTAACCGTTCTAACGCAACGTTAACGCGAACTATAAATGTTCACGCGCAACAAGTAGGGTTTAATTCCAAACGTTACGGTACGGTGTTGCGGTTACGGAACTATGTATAAATTCAGCTTTATTTCTTACGGTAAATCGTGCTAACGCGCTTGTCTTCGGTAGTACTCGGATAATTCAAACAGTTGAGTTTATCCTGACGTTCGTTTCGTTTATTTACAATAATTATTGACACTTTGTTGGTTATTATTATTTTGAAGTGCACGTTACTCTTACTGACAGATGACATAAGTTCGTGGCACAAGATCATCTCTTACCACTACGATAACAATTTTTGTTAACGTAAGATTTTACGGTTCCGTTCTTACGTTCTTACGGTTACGGAACTATAAATCCGGCTTAACTCTATCTTTACAAACCGCACCCACTTACACTCGCCATCTGTAAATTACACCAGCGCCTCCAGTGTTAATCTGAATCGCGAATAGTCTTTTGCATTTTTAATGTGAAATACACATCTGGCGACAGTGTACGAAACACCAAACCTTCGATGAAGTCACGTAGAGGGCGACCACTTCCAGCTATAAAAATAAGGTTATAATAGAATTATAAAAATGTCATATTTTTGTATTTAAAATTTTGGAATTATGCTACGAATGTCAGCGATTAATTGTGTATGAAAAAATGTGCATTTTAAACTAGGAATTATGTGCATTTAAAGATAATCTTTAGTTTTAATCATTTTCATTTAAGTGTATTGTTTAGCCCTTCATCATTACCATTATAGAATGGAGAAGAAAAACGCACCAGTGCATGAAGAAGTAAAATCGAAGGCCATTGTTAAGTATTCCGTACCTTGGCCAGCAAAATTTACAAAATTGCAATGTAATACAGACTTAAATATGCCTCCATCGAATTGGCTTAGCAGTTCCGTTGAATCGTATGGATTGCAACATGTTTTATATGAACAACAAGGTTTCAGTAGGTATGTACTTTACTTTTTGCACCATGCACCACATTCAACAATTGGCATGTCAGCATGTTTTAAAGATCTTGTTAAGATTACCTCTACTGCCTCTCTTCTGCTACACGCACTGCATTTGTAAAACTATGTGTTTTCTACACTGAAAATAAAATATTTGATATTACATGTCTTATAATTTTGCAAGCATTCGCTTCTGTATTGTTTCTAAAGGAGAACTTTTGAAAGAATTTAATGCCAAAAATCTGATCTATGTGATTTTTCTGTAACCATCCAAGGTATGAAACAAAAGAAAAGTGGTTAAAGGATCTAAAACGACTAGGTACTTTATCAAACATTTCAAAAAAATGCCCTATACAATGTTTGGTCCAAAATTATTCCAAACTACTGGAACTAGATTTCTCTTTTACATCTCGTTTTACGTTACTTAGTTTAGTGGGCTGGGTCACATGGAAAGAACCTCCTTTATTTTTTTTTCCTTTGTTAGAGGTAAATTGAACATAACGTTTACATTTAATAAAGACTATTGTAGTTATTATTGGTTTCATTCTTCTGGTAAAGCGTCCTCTCCAGGTTTGTTCCAAGTGGAACATGTCTCTGAACATTAAAATTCTGAAGGATCGGATTCATAAACCATTTCAGTGGAAATTTGGATGTCAGCAGTGGTCAATGTATCCATCTGGATAACTGCGTATTTGATTTCTTACTTTTGGAACGTTTTACTCGACCTTTAATGCAATTTATTTTACTGTTACAGTTTTCGGATGGCGCACATGTTTCCTGATTGTGTCGGTGAAGTGGATGTTGTATCGGATTCAGAAAACATAAAAAATTTGCTAAAAATACCGTACCACAAGGGCTCTGTCAGTATGATGGTGCATCGAGTGGAAAATACATTACTTCTAGATAACTTTGACATTTATAAGCACATCCTTCGTACTGCTGAAACGGAATGGGAGTGGCTAAAGAGATTTTTTTATGATATACTTAAAAATAATATTGACGAAGGTCAGCTGTATGACAGTAGTTTATATTCTAAAAACCGAACTCGAAAGGCACTGCAACAAAAGAGTTTGGTATCAAAGTTTCTATATCACAGCCTTGCTGACAATGAAAACGCAAGCTCGGTCGATAATAACAAAGATCTTACCGAAAAATTTACTTCACTTTCCGAACCAGCACCAGAAGAAGTACCAGATCCACGTTCACATGTGCACAAATATAATCGTAATGTAATATGGACCTTTGAAGATATTAGAATGTTAATCGGAACTGACATGCCTATTTTTGGACAAGGTACTCATCCTTGTATTTCTTTACGTCTACGTGACATGACAAAACCAATCAGTGTTCTCACAGGCATAGATTATTGGTTGGATAATTTGATGTCTAATGTACCCGAGGTTGTGATGTGTTACCATCTAAATGGATTTGTACAAAAATATGAATTAATAAAAACTGAGGACTTGCCTTCACTGGACAACTCCAAGTTTTCTCCTTCGGTTATTAGAGAAGTGGCCAAAAGTATTTTATCTTTTCTTAAATCAAATGCGACAAAAGCGGGACACACCTACTGGTTGTTTAAACCGAAAGACCAAGATGTGGTCAAGTTGTACGATTTAACTTCTCTATGCTCAAAGTATATGGCCGAGAAGGATGAAAGTCCATTTACGGTACCGGTCGCAATGCTGCTATATCGAGTTGCACGCAACATGAAGCAGTCTGGCGAACGACAACAGGCCGGTACAATCAGGATGCTCCTCAAAAATTGCATTAAACTGCTGGCAGAGACCAAATATCCAGAAATTATTACTTCGTCCAATTACATGCTGTCCGATTTGTATATTCCTGCAAATACTAATCCGGAAGCTCCAAATTTTGAACAGTTTGAAGGTCAATCTCCTGAGAATGTTTTTGATGATGATGATATTCCAGGTAGGTACGAATTTATTCATCACTTATGTAGTTAGATATGCGCATCCATTCTTAAAAAAGTATGTTATATAGCAAGAGACTAAAATGCATGTTTTAATCTCGATAGTGCAGTTTGTTGCCGAAAATGAAGTTCGGTACAAGCACCATGAGGGATTAGAATACACCATGATATTATACAGGACTTGCATTACAAAAGAAAAAGATATTATATCTAGCCTTTTCTTCCACACCCCCAGCTGCCCTCACTTAAAGTTATAATATGACCCCCCCCCCGTGACATCTTTTTAAAAGCCATCAAATTATCTTTACAAAGATAACTGCAAATTTTAATAAACATAAATGAAGTTTACATATTTCACGTTTTGATTGTATATAATTTTTTTTATTAAATCTCAAAATGGTCACCAGTGCACAGACACTAATACAGTTTATGTTGAAATTCTTCATGGACATCAACAAAAGTCTCTAGTGATTTATCTACATTGATGGGTATCTTGCTATATGAACCACTGGATAGCCCAGTATGACTGGAGACAAAAATACAGAATACTGATATGTCACATGGAACAGGGCTAACACATTTTTAGCGTCAAGATGATAAGCAAGTGGAGCATTTTTGTCATCTCGTGTCATTTATAACCGAATCGCGTGAAATTCAAAGTGCGCATAGTTAGTACCATATCAAATGTAATGTGACCGCTTTTGCACTTTTGATTATGTATTTGTCAGGCTTCTTAATCCAAGAACAAGTCCCACCAGGCTGCTGGCCTCTGCTAACAACTCGACGCTAACCAAGATGCCATGGGCGGCATCCTAATGTGATTTCTGTAATGAGAGAGGTCGGCTTCCAGGTTTTTTTTCCTCTCCATGGGTTGGACTATATCACGCCTACGCACTTTTACCCTTGCTTTGTTAAAAAAATATGAGGATCCTCTCCAGCTGCAACTTCCTGATCTGCTGAGGTGCTATTACATCCTCACCCAGGTCTGGTGATCTCTGTTTGGAGACAACCTCACACCACCAGAGGATGTGTTCCGATGTTTCTTCCTCTTCCAAGAAGAAGTGACATGTATTATCCTGAGCTACTCCGTTTTTGTTGTCAAGAGAATATCCAGTGACCAGGCCTATGTATTATCTTAGTTCACTTCTGCAACTAGCTGGTTTTGGTCTCCTAGAAACTGATCGATTTCTTGAATTGTCTTAGTCCTGCGCGATGGGTTAGTACATTTAATTCTCGTGTACATGCAGTCGGTATTGAATAAGAAGTCAGTAGGTTATTCACAGGAAATCATCGGTATTCAATAGGAAATCGCAAGTATTCATAGGAAGTTATCAGCGTCCAGTAAGAATTCCAGTTATAGCAAGTCACTACTATTTTACAGAAATAAACAAAACAATAGGAAGTAGCAGTAATTTAAATATTCTTTGTAGAAATGATGATTTTTGTTTTGTGGGCCTAGATCTAGGAACCGCACGTTTCCATGCACCTCTATGCGCATCAACTGCTATGGTTACTAGCATTCCCCTTACTATAATACTCCTCTTACTATGGGAGTTTCAGTTACAGTAGGTAAGGGATTTTTCACGTGCAAAATATCTTCGCAAACATAGTATCAAAACAGGATCTACGTTTTTACTTCATATCCAAGAAGAAGGCGTATTAAGTTTTTCTCCGCTATAGATAACTGCTACCTTGTCCGAGGTTTGAATCCGCATCACTTGGGTGAAAGACCAACAGGCTAACCTCTGCCAACCAGGCAGCTTATTTAAATATATTTACACATATAGGTACATACAGGACAAGATACAGGGTGTTCATTTAAAACTTCTCATCCCCAATATCTCGATAGCTGCGTTTTACTAAAGTAATCCAGAAACATGTGGCAATGTTACAGAAGGGGAGACCTTTTTTATTATAAAATTGACTCACCCCCTCTCACCCTTTGCGTCCGGGAGAAACATCAAACATTTTAAATAAGAAAGGTATCAAGTAATTAATACCTCATTTTCACCCGACATGCTAGTATTTATTTTTTTAAATTGACCAATCCGTTGTCGAAATACGCAAACGATTTACTCTACACCCCAGTTAAACACATGATTTTCGTTCCGTTGCCGACCGTCGGATCTGATACATCATAAGACTGTTTTGAAGTTTGGAAGTGAGCAATTGTTTGACATCTTTTGCGAACCTCGTCAAGCTCGGCAAAGTACTTCCCGACTTGCACGCCAATTCCGACAAGATTTCAATGTTACGCTGACATTGGTGGAATTTGTTATACAAACCTCGCTGGTCAGTGGTTCATAACGCGCATATACCTCACCCCCGGTGGTTATGTACCTTAATCCCTCGGCGTAGGTATTGAACTACTTCCTAGCTCGGTATGTAATCTACTATTACCTACCTGAATGCAATTAATTCTTTCAATTTTACGGATTATGCTCACTTAATAAAAATCTCTTTTTATTATAAAGTATGGACAAATATAACATTTTATCTTGAATTATTTAACTTATTTGAGCCTATTTCCTTTTCATCTTTTTGATCTTCGTCCTCGGCCAAAAATTTTACCTAGTTTTTTGAAGAAAATGAGAGTAGACAAAAAGTATAATTAATTACCACTATTGCATTAATAGGTAAATAAGTTAAAAGTCAGGTTTATGAAACATCTCGATAAAATGAAAGCATAAATGAGAAAGTTAAATGTAATGTAGTGAGTTACAATGTCAAAAGAAATAATAAAGAACATCAATTGCATTTTAAGTCATTTTTCCAATGTATAAGGGCACTAATTTTCATTGCTCAGGAAACTCGGCCATCACGTAATTAAGAAAGAATACATTGTTAATCAAATTCAGGTAATTTAGGAAGCATTACATTTCGCCATTCTTTTTATAACTTGTTTCAACATTAAAATCGTTTTCGGGCTAAAGAACAAAATCGTAATACAAATTTTTGGCTAATGTTAATTGGCCTTGCACTTGATAGTAGCATTAAAAAAAGAAAAAAAGATCTATTAAATGAGCCTAATAAAAGGGTGCATTGCTATTTTAAAAAATTCAATTGTTTTTCGGTTTTTCGTTACTCATTTGTTTTCTGAAGTAAAAACAATTGAATAGTGCCTTATGGGAAATTATATAACGGGAGGCTAAAAATAAGTGGCCGTCGAGTCACCTTTGAAGGTTTAAGTTAAATACGATTTCCATTCCAAAGGTGACTCGACAACATTATTGATCGCATAGTATTAATACAGTCATTATTTACCGAGATATATACTATATTCCAAACATAGTGGGGATGGTTATAGGTAGGTATTTACCATTATATTCACAATTCAGGTCTATTTTGGCTATTCATTTATTGCAATAATCATAATAAATGCCTTTAGGTTTATCTTTATATCCTACATACGTAATTAGTGTGCCTACTAATTGGCCCAAGTAAGTGCAATGGGCGGGTCTAGATGAAGAGTGGAGACTTGAAATCTATTTCAATTCCACATAGTTTTTTATTAATATGTTATTGACAATTATTGCTAAAAATAGTATGTCATTATGTGTGAAAATCGCCATTTTCAATTATTGTGTTACACCTATTTATTACGATTTAAAGTAGTTAGAGCGCGTTCGGCTCAAGTCAAGTGATGTACTCGGCCTACCTATTACTTACGGTAAACGTCCCCAAAAAAATGTTGTTATGAAGGAAACATAATTAGAAATACGGTATGAGTGGTATTTTGTACCTCAGCACAATGCAAACGTTATACACTCGGTTATACATAATTTTTAAAAAGGTATATACAGTAGTCAACTTGACTAGTCTCCCTACTTTTCGACCCTGTTTCAAACCTTTGCACACTAAATGTTGACGACACACAGCGACTAAATATTCACAGTGTAAGCGGTAAATCCTAAACGAATATATTTATTTTTAATCAAAACGTATGCGAGACGTATGTAAAAGCCGGGAAACTAAATAATTTGGCGTTTTACGTGAAGTCGGTGTAGTGGATTTGGTTTTTCGATGTTGGCGCCAGAGATCCCCAGCCGCTATCTTGATCTCGATCCGATCAGTGTGTCAACAAGACGTGTGCAGGCCTTGATAAATATCGCTGGTTTTGGTGTTCTTTCTGAAAGACACCATGCCTTTTGTGAAGAAAAGTGCTCAGCAGAAGAAGGAAAAGATTGTCCTAGCTCAGCTATATACTAGACCTAGTGGAAAAGTCATCAGATTAAAACGCGTGCTGATTAACAGAGCAGACGCCGCTTCGGCGGTAAATATCTTCCTTATTTCATCATGAACATGTACTTTTCCGTGCATATTTAGATTCGTCACAAAATTTCGCTTCTAATGAGACCCATCTCGTTTAAGTCTTGATACAAAAACCTTCGCTAGCTCAGAAAAACTGAGTCTGTCCATAAGAGCCCATGTTAAAATACCCTGTTTTTACTGTCAAATATCTCAGAAACGGCACATAGGAACACTTTTTTCTTTTGACCATTAGAAAGTGCGTCTCTCAGAGAATAAGTGACCAAATTTTCACCAACTTCTTGTTACTTTTACCTAGGCGCTCTAACTACTTTAAATTTCAAAGTAATTTTTTCTACAACTGTCAAAAAACCTGTCATTTTCTGACGAATTTTGAAGCACGGAATACTAGATTTTTTAACAGTTAATTCATAAGTAAGATTGCTCTTGACAACGTGCGCGAAAACGGGCCCACGGGGGCTTAATTCTGAGACAAAACTGAATAGAAAATCTGGAGTTTTAGAATAGAAGATCAATATGACGGTTCTGTTTTTCGATTTAGTAAATAGGAGTGTTCAAATGCTACTTGCTGCAAGGTTTTATATTGAAAGGATGTATTAATCAATTGTCCATAAAACTTCTGTGGACAAATATTAATGTAGAACTTATGATTACAGCTGAAGAAGATGATGTCGACTATACAAAGACCTTAAGTCTGGAAACGGACAGTACATCTGAAACATTTCCAAATTTTTACAAGCAACCACCACCGATAGGAGGATCAACAGGAGAACGATGTTTACAAGCTCTTCTACATATCGCATCAGGTCTAGACTGTTTACAGTATTTTAGCAAGACTGAAAATATTTCAGAAAAAAAAGAATCTCAGGAGGAAGATATTTTGATGGCAAAATCTTTTGAAGCAATTCCAATGCCTTATAGCAAAATAAATAGCGCATCTGTTTCTGGTAATGATGACCCTTCCAGTTGTCAAAAAAGCAATAAGAAGAGCAGAAAACGTAGAGATAAGAAAAAAAAAGATGAAGTTCCTATTAACAATATTGAGTGTTCCCCTAATGCACTGCTACTTAAGAATAAAGCTGACGCGCAACCTCTACCCACATGGCAGGAATTTAATAACGATCATATCTCTTGGAAAGACCATTTTAAAATCTTATTGTACGAAAAAGCCGAATTGGTGTACGCAACGTTAGCCGAGCACCAATACGTCACAACAAATTACGGAGCAAGTTTACGTAGTTTAGGGTTGCTAGTTCGTTGTCACGAAGTTCTTAGTAGATTATACCACGCAAATAACGCCCTAATGGAAGATTGCTTATTGGGTAGAGCCGGAGATTGTTGCCTTATGATCGTTCACAACTGGCATAAGGTTGACGAATATCGAAATGAAATAAATACATTTCTGGTAGAAGACGATAAGATGAAAGTGCAGTTGGAAAAAGAGGAAAGATTGTACGGAATAAAATATGCGGAATCAAGTTTAAAGTGTGTACTTTTGCCAGATGTTCGAACAATGGAACAAATGCTAATAAAGTGTGTAGAACTGTACGATAAAGCGCTGAGATATCGGGAATCTCAAAGCATTTTGTTAAGATTAGGAAATAGTCTAAATGAACTGGGAACATTTCTTTTAAATCGAGCTCGAAATGCTACTTCCGAGTCGGACATCTTTCATTTTGTTAATAAGGCAGAGTGCCATCTAAAACGTAGCCTTACACTATTTGAGAAAATTAAAGATAATTGCAATGTCGCTTTAGTTTATACAAATCTGGGTCATCTCTATCGTGTTTTAGCACATGCAAGTTCGCCTGCAGAAAGATGTGAAATCACAACGAAAGAGAAATTATATTATAGCAAAGCATTTGTGAATTATAAGAAAGCTCTTCAGGCACTGGGAGAACGTGATCGTGCTCCAAGTATCTGGGATGCAGTTAAATGGGAGTTATCCACAGCTTTATATACCATGGCGACAGTTTTACACGATCATCCGAATCCAGCATTGGTAATTAAGAAGCCATAACTTTAACTTTTAATAACTGCTGTGTTGCAGAGTTTTACAGAGGCTAAAAAGGAAATTGTGGAGGTATTCCAGCAGGCATTGCAGTATTGTGATTTAGACGAGAACAATCCCAAATATCCATTGTATCAGTTTAGGGCTGCATGGATACACTTTCGACTTGCATCTCTTTATCACAAGAGCGTTTTAGAATTACCTACTGATGCTGCGAATCGAAAAGGAGTGATCTCACTCTCGAAGTTGCACTATAACAAATCGATTCCTCTTTTCCTTGCATCTATGGATGCGGTTAATTATTTCACCGTCCAGATGCAGTTATTTGGTCTTATTGACTATTTGGGGAAATGTAAGTTGTGTTTTCTTTGAAGAACTATTAATAAAATGATAATTGCAGCTTTGTCAACGTCACAAGTAAAACTTACACATTATCAAGATTGTTTAGACATATTGTGTAACGTGAAACCCATGCTTCAGTTAATTATCGACAAGAAAATTGATCTGGAAGAGTCCAATGATGTTGAAGAGCATGAGGGGTCGTATAAAACTCTGAAGTCTCTTATAAAATTGCTTCAAAATCAAATTCAGTATACATTTAGAGAGTTAACAAAGTTGTGTCTTCACAAACCAGCTATAAATAAAAATTGCGTTGAATTATCTAAGCTATACAAAGAATGCTACGCTGCAACACTGAGGCTGGATAAACAAAACCTCTATGATAATATTTTAAGTATTAATAGTGTTTTATCAAAAGTTCAACCTTAAATACTAAATTGCATTGTTTGTACATGTAATAAGATAATTGTAAATAAACGTTACATTTTTACGTTAAAGTAAAAACATTATTACAGACACTAACCGTAGGACTCCTACCCTGTTCCAGGTTCTACTTGACCATGAAAAAAACCTGCACATTTCACAACCGAACTCTTATACACCTAAATCTGCTAATTATTCACTTTTTTTACACCAACTGTGCTCTTGCCACCATTCAAATCGCGTACATGATATGTAGGCTTTCACAGTCTCTACCATATCCCCTATAAACCAACAGCAGATATGCATTTAGGTTATCTTCGCTGCTATCTTGGTAAATACGCATGCTATCTTTATCGCTAGCAAATTGACTCGCGCCTACTATCCGTATGAGGCGATACACATGCAATTTTACCCATATATCAAATTCGAAACATTTATACTGCAGTGGTCCCCCTTTACCAATTGGTTTCGAATCTCAACGCTGTGCTGTTAGGATTGTGATTGATGTAAGATATATGGCACTGTAAAGTCTACAGAATTACAATACTAGAGGCGAAAATTTGATACGTGTGCTCTTCAGTAGTTTAAGTACGGTATAAATAGCTCTGAAACTGAACTCCAAATTCTTTTTTTTTGTATTAAATTTTAATTCTTTAGGAATTCCAGTGGAACCAATGATGCAACCTCAGAATAGCTTTTTTGGAATTTTACGTTAGTTGCCACGTTCGCGTGTGACGTGTCATACGCCAAAATTGACATCGTTGATCTATCTATGTGTGCTTGAAAAGCAACTTACGAGAAGTGCAAACGCATCACTCTTATAAATTTTAGTTTTCAAAATATCGCCGAAAAACATCGAAAACAAGCAATTTGGAACATCCTGTACATATCTGTTTTCATTGTATCTGCCAAGCTGTTTAATTTGGGAGCGAATGGGAGAAGATGGGGGGATTTATGAAGACGCTATTTTAGTGGGCCGCCCCGGGATAGCTACTCTATCCCTAGCTCTCAATGTTTTGTGAATTTTATGCTAGCACCCTTAAAAACCAAAAATTGATGAAGTCAGAACCGGAAGCAGTACCGGAATCCATAATTCTACCAACGTAGTGCGGAATCAGAAACTATATCTAATATGATTCACACTCTCCTCTATGCAGAGCAATGTTTCAAAAGTTTTGATTACCTACTAATTTTCTAATTCTAACTTTTAATTAATATAACGTGAATCATGGGCTTTCATATATTCGCAAAATGAAGCTGAAATTAACAAATATTTATCTATTTAAATTATTTAAAAAATAAAGTTAATAGGTAATTTATTAGGTTGTGACTATAATTTGTAAACATACTTGCACGTACCACAGTATAGGCTACAGCGTATTTTAATGTAATGTATTAAGACACCTGCCATAAAATCAAGGCTGATTCTTATATAGAGAAAAAATATTGAAATCTCTGCACAAAAATCGGCATTTATACAATAATGAGCCATACACATATACAACGGAGACATAAATATGTCAAGTGGACAACGCGAGTTATGAAAAGAATATTAATTATTGATTAATAACCTGTATATAGATATACGTATTAGATAATATCTTATTATTTTAAGATCCTTCATATTATATATTTAATTGTCCCTTCTCATTACGGTAGGTATATAAATATAGTGCTGCAATACAATCAGTTTTAAAAGAAAATCGATAGTAGGTACCTACCTACAGTTTGCATTTCCCTACAGTAATTGTGAAAGTGCTGGTACATAAATTTAAAATTATGAAAACCTTAGTCTTGGTAAATTTGAAGGGAAGCTAATACATACCTATACAAACGAAACTGTTGTAGGTATTGAGTTTCCTAATCAGTGGATTGTTGGTAATGGGAGCTCCAAGTCCCGGTCCCAAACCCAACCCATATTATCTCTCTTATGGATATTGGCCATATGCAGGCTATGGTTATTCGGACTATTACAATAACTACCCTTACTACGCTTGGAGTAAGTACCTATACCTATATGCTATAACGCTACAAAATGCATGAAGAGATAAAATCGTATTTTATATTTAATTCTTTTCAGATTATGGGTATGGCTATACTTCTCCTTATGTTATATATGGGTAGGTAAATTTCCATGTTGTAGATCAGTACCTATAATGAAGTATATATTTTGTTAATTTTAAGAAAAATGAACTTATAGTGTAAGGTATATTGTGCGGTATCATTTATTATAGGTAAATTTTTGTTACCTACATGGAGAGTGAATTTTTTAATTATTTTAATACATTAAAAAACCGACCTCTTTTGTAAGTTACGCGTAATATAACAGTTTTTCATATCGTTATTTTACAATCCACATCACTACTTAAGGGCTTTTTAATTTAGGTAAAATAACTTTGAAAACTTATTTTTTCATTACTAGCGTATGATGGCAGTGACCACAACGTCGACTGAAGCTGATGGACGGTGTGCAACACCAAGCAGCTTTTGACGTTAGGTTTAGAATACTTTTTTTTAGCTTTTTTCGAACTACAGACGAAAGAAAGCAGCTTTGGATATTAGGTTATTTGTAGGTTTAGGACATTTTTTAACTTTTTAAAATGCTAACTCATATAGGTACATGGACAGAGTATGAGGGGCCTGGTTTTTTGAACAATCGGCCTTGTGGCAACGTTCGGCGTAGTGTCCCTTGTACACTTGTCGGCGATGTGGGCACCAGTGTTGTGATGTATCTAGATACATATTAAGATCCTTTTCAAAATTTGTATCTGTATCTACAATTCAGATACTTTTTTTTGTATCTAAGAGTTTAGGTACATTTTCTATTTTTTTTATTGCCCAATTCCATTAATCAATATTATAATGATGTATTAAATAGTATATTATATACCGCGGGACTGAAGTAGCATTTTTAATCCCGAAGGTAAAGTTTATGGGCCGACCGAAGGGAGGGCCATAATTTACCTGAGGGATTAAGACTACTGCTTTAGTCGCAAGGTATATACGATATTTTTCGTACTTCCGAAACTGAAACACTTAATATGTATGGAGTTAGAGAACGCGTTCTTTCAAAAAAATGACTCTTAACAAGTTACCATAGGAACGTTGCGTTGGTACGACAATCCCTATGCTATGGTAACAAAAATAATTTGGAAACTGTCATTGCTAGTGTCATAATTTTGGTCGTGGGTGACGAAAGTGTATTTAATTTTGATAAAAAGCAGCCAAAGTATGTAAAGAATTGATACTACCGAAATCTAAAAAACTATATGAGCAGCAGTACGATGCGTTTAAAAAGTAGTGCCGCATACAAATTGTGGAACAACCTACTGAAATTGCCTTGTTAATAATTTCATCCTTCCGGGATTTTCGTCCAAATTTAATCCCGGCGGGACAAAAAGTGACACTTCAGTACTTGTCATAATGGAGTGAAGTTGTCACTTTAGTCTCGGAAGTACGAAAATTATATTTTCAAATGACAAAACGCTTTTTATTACTTGAGGGGTGTCGATAACTGTTTACCGGCATCAAACATGGAAAATAAAGTATCTGTATCTAGATCCTTTTTGTTTTTGGGTATCTGTTTTGGTATCTAGTTACAATTATTAAGTTGTATCTGTATCTTTACCATTGAATTTTTAACTATCAAATTCAATGTCTTTACCTAGAACTAAGAGTGAAAATATCTATTACAACTGGGCACGGTCGGCGAAGTGGGCATTGTCGGCGTTGTGTCCCTTGTACACTTGTCGACGCGACGATGTGAACACTGTCGGCGTAGTGTTCCTATTTATAGTTAGCGATATGGATCATCAAAATAGAGGAACGTCTCGCGACAGTAATCACTTGGCTGCTACGCACATGCGCAGAACGGTATTTCTTTATTCACATTTCTAAATTTAAATTTAAAGTTTTGTGCATTAATGGGAAGGTGTAATACGCATGTGCGTAGCAGCCAAGTGATTACTGTCGCGAGACGAACGGCAAAATAGCGTGTCGGCGTTGTGGGCATTTGGTGAAGTGTCCTAGACCCTGGCTGATTGATTACCAAACGTTTGGCATCACTGTGCACTGAACGTGCAACAGCGCAAATTTGAAATTATGTTCATTTGTTTCACAGAATAAGACCACAGAATAAGACCTTCACAGAACAGAAACATAAATGGCGCTAAATTGTCACTGATTACAGCGTTTCCCGTGGTTGTACGGAGAACTATTTATCGCAGACTCAAATATTTTTTTGCAAAACCTGTAATTTTGCTCGTTACAGGAAATATTTTTACCGTCAATTTTATACGTACACATGGTTTTACACATGTCAATTTTGACTTTTGAAAGATTTAAAATAGGAACAAGTTATGTGACCGTAAAAAGTGTTGTGTGGCGAATTGTAACGATAAAATATCAAAAAGGCATCGTTTCCCATATTTTGAAACAGATTGTTTTGTGCTCGAAACGCGAAGAGGGTTGAAATGTGCTGTTATTTCTCTCCTATTTATGCAAGGTATTGAATTTATAAATTACCAACGGTATAGGCGCAAAAGGGTGTAGACTTAAGTTTTATATTTATATAGACGTAGATACTTATATTGTAACTCCTTTTAGATAATGAATAAAAAATACGTTTTAGATAATTCAACAACTTCCACCCTCGCTTCTCAAGTAACAAGTAAGCACCAGGATCAAGTTAAGTAACATTTGTTGTCAAAAACTTGTGTGACAATTTGCTGAAACGGTTTTATTACCTCTTGGAACAAAAAATTTAGTTTTAAAGATATTTTTTAACAAAAATATGTAGTCCAAACAGCAATTAAAACCAAATATTTCGTACGACAAATCGTTATGTAAGGATCTTTCTGCATAGTGTTAACATCTACAAAGCGTAAGTTCCACTCACTTCTGAGTTTTATATGTAATTTGTAAACATGTAATTTAAGATGTCTGTGTTAAATAATGTAATGTGATTGTATCTAAATACACTTGCAATTTAACAACTTTGTATTCTTTATCTATATTTGTGATTTAGATCGAATTGGGGAAATTACTTCATGGATTTAGAAGCTGGTCACCAGATGGCGCTACTCTGATTTTGATGCTTTAGTTCACAGTACACCCACCAGGGTCCGCCAAAATACCATATAAACATAGATATATAAATACATAGATACAGCCATACCCCAACATAGTTCAAAAGGACGTACCATCTATTACCATCACTTTCGGCACATTAATTACGTATAGCGCTATCTTTTATAGAGGTACCCTGAGCATGGAAGACAAGATTCGCATTATTTATTATAACTGTCAATCAAATTGTTAGCACAAATCACACAGAAAATTATCAGATTTGAGACTTTACAACATAAATAAACCGCCTTTTTATTTATTTAAATTGCATAGCAGCAAAGAAATGTTACATTTAAAATGGAAGATGTTATTTAGAAAGCTGGCAAATGAAGAATTTGAAAAAATTACAGCTGACAACTGGAAGAAAGTGTGTGAACATGTGGAAAGTGATTAATTTAAAAGAGAAGTTATATTGGTTGATGTTTCTGAACTTTATGATGTGTTAATAATGACAGTGATGATTCGGATTTGTCAATTTCATCTGACGATGATTCGGATTGTGAACTTTTACAAACGTAGTGAATGTTCACTAAATGAGTATTATCACCAATTGGATATCATTGTTAAGATGTTGTATTTATTTTAAATAAATGTACACGTGTAGCTTACTTACTACAAATAGCACTATAATTTCAAAAAGAAACCCCACCGATTGGACATATGCCGAAAGGTAGGCAAGACGCGTAGCGACCAAAATTTGATATTGCACGCACACACAGTCTATAAATCTCGTTTTCCTAAGAGTATTGCACGGATCCTTCTTTGTGATCATGATACAAACGCACTGCATCAACATCATATAGGCCAAAATGATAATTGGAAACGAATTCACTTCCTGTCGCAACTCTCCGTTACCATTACGCCTAAAACCATGAAGTTAAAATTAAAATGTTGAACATAAACTTTACTTACTTACGGTTTTTTTGATATTCTGCAAGCCAGCAATGAATTCACTGCAGCACATCATGCCAAACAAGGTAAACATAATCCCAAATTTGAATGGCGTAGCTCTATGTAATAAAACTATTTCAGGAATAACAATTATGGACGCGTCTATCATTATGGCAAGCACTAATGTTATTCGTATTCCATTGATAACGCAATAATTACATAATATTTAGTGAAAAAACCGCCCATTTAGTTAGATTTGATTTCGCGCGATCGTGAAATGTGTCAACTGTCACATGACTTATGGGACGCGCTAAGTTTGTTTTAAGCGTCCGATTCGCGTACGACATAGAAATTAATGCAATAAAAAGAGATAGAACATGTTTCTTCTTGGTTAGAAAGTAATGGAGAGATGTACAAATTTCTTTGATATGTTTTTTAAAAACCGAGGTACGTTTGTTAAGGATGGCTGTATGCATAGATATATAAATACCTAGATACAGCCATCCTTAACAAACGTACCTCGGTTTTTAAAAAACATATCAAAGAAATTTGTACATCTCTCCATTATACTTTCTAACCAAGAAGAAGCATGTTCTATCTCTTTTTATTGCATTAACCACTATGTCGTACGCGAATCGGACGCTTAAAACAAACTTAGCGCGTCCCATAAGTCATGTGACAGTTGACACATTTCACGATGGCGCGAAATCAAATCTAACTAAAAATATTCGCCCTAAACATGATGGGCGGTTTTTTCACTAAATATTATGTAATTATTGCGTTATCAATTGAATACGAATAACATTAGTGATTGCCATAATGACAGACGCGTCCATAATTGTTATTCCTGAAATAGTTTTATTACATAGAGCTACACCATTCAAATTTGGGACTATGTTTACCTTGTTTGGCATGATGTGCTGCAGTGAATTCATTGCTGGCTTGCAGAATATCAAAAAAACCGTAAGTAAGTAGAGTTTATGTTCAACATTTTAATTTTAATTGCATGGTTTTAGGCGTAATGGTAACGGAGATTAAGTTGCGACAGGAAGTGAATTCGTTTCCAATTATCATTTTGGCCTATATGATGTTGATGCAGTGCGTTTGTATCATGATCACAAAGAAGGATCCGTGCAATATTCTTAGGAAAACGAGATTTATACTCGTAGACTGTGTGTGCGTGCAATATCAAATTTTGGCCACTACGCGTCTTGCCTACGTTTCTGCATATGTCCAATCGGTGGGGTTTCTTTTTGAAATTATAGTGCTAATTGTAGTAAGTAAGCTACACGTGTACATTTATTTAAAATAAATACAACATCTTGACAATGATATCCAATTGGTGATAATACTCATTTAGTGAACATTCATTACGTTTGTAAAAGTTCACAATCCGAATCATCGTCAGATGAAATTGACAAATCCGAATCACCACTGTCATTATTAACACTTATTATAAAGTTCAGAAACATGAACCAATATAACTTCTCTTTTAAATTAATCACTTTCCACATGTTCACACACTTTCTTCCAGTTGTCAGCTGTAATTTTTTCAAATTCTTCATTTGCCAGCTTTCTAAGTAACATCTTCCATTTTAAATGTAACATTTCTTACTGCTATGCGATTTAAATAAATAAAAAGGCGGTTTATTTATGTTGTAAAGTCTCAAATCTGATCATTTTGTGTGTGATTTGTGCTAACAATTTAATTGACAGTTATAATAAATAATGCAAATCTTGCCTTCCATGCTCAGGGTACCTCTATAAAGGATAGCGCTATACGTAATTAATGTGCCGAAAGTGATGGTAATAGATGGTACGTCCTTTTGAACTATGTTGGGGTATGGCTGTATCTATGTATTTATATATCTATGATATAAATTTGTAACATTGCTGTTTCTCTATTCTGAGAAGGCCGTATTCTGTGATTTGTTTATAACCAACAAATTTGAGTTCAAACATTATGTACATAAGTTGAAGACATTTGAAGTTAATAAAAATGAGTAAAATTACATATGAACTAGATTCCGATTCAGATTCTACTATAATTGACGTTGAAATAAACCACAATAGAAATGACTCATTGAATAAAACCTCCACATCTAAAAATACTTTCTCAAACTGTTTCTCTGGTAATATTCTATGTTTGTCTACAAAGTTGCACCTTAGTGTTTCGTTTTTAGATGTGAACTATACGCAGTACAATAGCGAGCTAGAATCAATTCTTCAAAAGTATGGTGTGTCTTCAGGTGATTCAAAGCCACAGACGAAACCGCCGGTAAAGGCTGCATTCACTGGTGATACTGATACCTTAGATCTGTGTTTCGATGAAGACACTCCACTTGTACGTGATACTACAGACACTTCAAACTTGCACAAAGATTCCTCTCTGTATAAGGCTTCTTTTGATAGTGATAGTACATTAGGTATAAGTTCTGATGATGAACGTTCACCATTACATATATCCAAGAGCGCTAACGAACTGTGGGATAGTTACTCATTGCCTTCCTTTCAAAAAGAAGACCAGGCGAAATCAGATTCAGTAAGTTCAGGTAAGTCACATTTTACATAAACCCCTCGCCAGGAAAGATTGCAGGTTACAGAACACTTGATCCCGGTCTACAATCGATGTTTTTCTAAAGATGTGAGTGACTTCCGGGATAGTATCGTATCAATGTTGAACAAAAAGACTTTTTGTTCAACACGATCCTATTCCAGAAGTCGCTCGCATCTTAAGAAAAACATAGATTTGTAAATTGACACACAGTGTGCTGTGACCAGCAATCTTTCCTGGCGAGAGTTATAGGTACCTAATCATTCCTATTGTATATGTGCATCAGATTTAAGTTCAGATGAAGAATCTCAACCTTTACGTTCATCTGCAAGTGTTACAAATGATAAAGAAATACAGCAGAGTGGTCTTTTATCGCCTTCTTTTCAAAAAGAAAAGCAGAGGAAAATATTTTCGGCAAATGATATTTGTGATGGTAAGTTAAATTTTGTACAATCGCCATTTAGTCATGTGAACTACTGCAGAGTTAATAAGTTCCGATGAAGATTCTCCCCCATTTTACACATCTGCATGTGTGGAAGAAGAGCATATGGACACTTCCTGGTGTTTTGAAGGATATGAAAAAACGCTTGCAACAGAGACTAATGGTAAGCTTCCACTTTTTATATGGGTTGGATTTTCATCACATTTAGATGTTACAATGCAGAAGTATTGAAAGTGAAGATTTGTAACAAAATAGCAATACATTAAAGAGAATAAATCCATTTAGTGATACCTGGGATGTCTTCGGAAATCCTATGTGTATCTTGGGTCATCAAATTATCACATATAATACCATGAGTAGTCGAAGTATTGTGGAATGTGCTCCAAGGTAATTCGTTATGAGTGATCAAACTAAAAGATATCGTGATAAGTCGGTTGCCGAAATGGATGAACAAATTAAGAATATTCCAGTTAATACGAAAAAATTTTACTGGTTGAAGTTTAACAAATGTCATTGAATAATCAAATCGCCTTAGACCATATAGTACATGGACTGCTATTAGCCCTTTGCTTTCAATACAAAATGGGTGGACACGGATAGAGGGCACTGTAGTCGTGGGTATATAAATCTCAGGGTAAACTAAAGTCGTATGAACACCACTCGGATCGCGTAAAGAGTCGCTTTTATGGTAACTGCGTAGTACGGGAAGCTTTAAATACTCTTGATTATCTTCTATATGTCCACAAATAAGAATAGGTAAATCGTGTCTCATCGGACACTTTCGAGCTGACTCGTTTACCCTGAAACTCACATACCCACGTAATGTCCTTGACCATATTTTAGTTAGAATTAGCAGTCCATGTACTATATGGTCTAAGATAATCGCTGAAATTACCACACCTGCAATTATCATATAATTCATTCCCATTGGTTCATCAATTTGACATCACTGCATTTCACTGGTCAAAATGTGACAAATTTGAGATGATTTGAATAGTCATGGATATTTTGTGGATCTCAACCGTGTCCATTATTTGACATATTGGTCTAATGACGGTAATAACTATTATTTACAATAAAATTGCCCATATGTGATTTGATGATTGTGACATTAAGTTCCATAACGCGGAATGGTCTAAACAAGGAGGGGGTAATTTGTTAGGATGAGGTCTGGTATTTTACTTTACAGTTGAAAATGTTAAACAAAGCTGAGAGATATTTGATGAAGCACATCTTGGGGTCTTTTTCAGACTGATAAATATGTAGTGATATGTTAAAATAATAATAATGATGTTAATTGCCACCAAATTAAAGAAATGGAAACCACAGGGGTTATTGCTTCAGTTGCTGTGAAGGCAGGTTCTGATCTTCCAAATCACATGTGTGTGTAATAATAGCCATTTAAATTTCACATTCTGAAACTATGACGTCAGAAAAAAATTGAAACCGTCAGATTGTGGCAAATATTTAATCATTCAACTTGTATGAACAACTTTTTTTGATATGATCAATAGTAACGGCTCCAGCATCAATGTTCCTTACTTTTTATTCACCCTGTACAGCAATGTATTAATACTTTGTAATTAAGTATAATGTGTAATGTAATGAGTACCTATATTTTTTCAGAAACTACTCCACTTACCCAACATCCTACAACATCAAGAAAAAGGAAGCATGGAGAAAACACTAATAATTTGGACAAAGAGAAAAGAAAACAGGAAAAAGCTGAGCAAAGAGCTCAAAAGCAAGAAGAAATTGCTAAAGCGAAACGGCTTAAGCAAGTTCTTCAATCGGTTAATAAAAATATGAAGCCCGAGGAATCAATAAAAGTTGGTACTGTTAAAAAATATGCTTAATTCAAATTTATTTGTTTCTAGTTTGTAACTGTAAAAATAGGCAATGAAATAGTTAAAGAGAAATATGGACAAGAAATATTGAATGCGCTTAGACTAATGGATGCGAAATGCAACGTAGAAGAGCATTTAATTCCAAATATAATTACATGGTCCCGGGATGTACTTTCTGTAAGCACAAATGATCAGAACGACGTGAGTTGGTATAAACAACTACGTATATAAGATATTAAGAAATCATTGTAGGTAATTGAGAAACTGGAAACCGTCCATGTTGATGACTCTCTGATAATTATGAATTGGGACGAAACAATAAATTTAATTCATAATAACACCTTAAATACTCACGTGCAATCCATTAAATCTGTCATTAATAAGAAGAAATTATTCATAGTAATTTATGGCTTAGACAGTTATTTTAGGTAAGTCTACTGTAACTAGAAATTGTCAGACGTAACGTATTTCTCAAAGGTGTCACAAGCGAGAAAAACATAGAGAGGTACGAAAAGAAGTCTCTCAAACCGTTTCAAAGAAAACAAATAAAAATGAGAGGGTCTATATTGATATGCCAAAAGTAACCAAAAAACAGTTGGAATCTGCATTTACAGAGCTACAAATATTACATTCGTGTTGTTATCGTTTAATTGAGAGCCCTCCGGATTTGGGAATGTTAGTAACACAGTTTACCAAGTCTATAGCTTCTGCACCGTACAAGTAAGTGTATTTATACATTTAAAGATTAGGGCGGTCTGTATCTGAGGTAAGTAAATAAAAAGAAACAAATGTTGAAGTAGCATATACGCTCTAATAGAATAATTACACAGCAAGGTATTGTAGTCCATTTGAAACAACCTAGGCCAGCTGTAGAATACCTTTAACATCTATGTGTTTTGAGCGCTTGCATTCCATATTTTTAGCCATTCCAATGCAGCCTCTGTTGTCCTCATAAATGATCACACCTTCTTTTATAATTAATATCTAAATTCTCCAATATTCCCTTTACCCAGATAGCTTCTCAACATGCAGCACTTGATGCTACATATTCTGCTTCACTAGAAGATGTTGCTACTGTAGATTGTTTTCGACTAGACCAGGAAACAGTGCATCCAAAAACTTTAAAGACGAAACCACTTGTCGATTTCCGATCTGCAGTATCCCCAGCCCAGTCAGCATCCGCATAACCCACAAGTGGAATGTTACTATTAACAGAAATGCCATTTTCTTGGTTCCTTTTAAATAACGAACAACTTTCTTCAATGATTGGCAATGCTCTTCTATAGGGTGCTATTGAAATCTACCAAGATAACTGATAGGGAAACAAATATCAGGACGAACACATAACATCAAATACATCAAACTACCCAGCAACTCTTGATATGATTTCCTGTTGTTATTGTCGTCAGAATTTGTACAAGGCAACTTTAATCCTTTCTCCATACGAGTCTTCACTGCGTTGCAATCTTGTAAGCCAAATTTCTTCAAAATCTTTTCAATATGGTGGGGCTGAGATAAGTTTATGTAATCTGAACCAATTTCAATCTTCATACCCAGGAAATTTTTCAACTCTCCGCAATCTGACATTGAAAATTGTTCAGACAATAACTTCTTCACATTTTCCATATCTGAAAGTGTTTTTCCAACCAAAAGCAAATCATCTACGTAGAGAACCAAAAAAATATGTTGACCATTTTCATTGCGTGTATAAAGACAATAATCATGTTTTGACCTTACAAATCCAATTTGCAAAAGATAACTATTCAACTTTTCATTCCAACATCTAGGAGCTTGTTTTAAACCGTAGAGTGTTTTGAATAACTTGCACACTTTGTTTTCTTCATTTGTAACACCATCAGGTATGGTCATGTAAATCTCTTCTTTTAGATCTCCATGCAAAAAGGCTGTTTTCACATCCAGCTGTTGAAAAAAATATCCAAGACGAATACCAACAGCTAACAAATCTCGCATTGTAGTGAGTTTCGCAACTGGTGCATAAGTTTCAAAATAGTCGAAGCCATGCTTCTGTAAATATCCTTTTATAACTAGTCTTGCCTTATGCTTCTTTGGAACACCATTTTCATCATATTTTATAGAAAAAATCCATCTTGACTCCATAATTTTTTTCAAACCGGGCTTTTCGACAATCTTCCATACATTGTTCTTCTCCATTGATGTGAGTTCATCTTCAACTGCTTTGATCCACAAATCTTTATCTTCTCTTCCAAAAATATCTCCATAACATTCCGGAACATCTGGAAGAACATTACCAGCAGTACTTGCTCTATAAGTAGTAAAGAAATTTTTCAACTTACTCGGTCTCTTGCGCTCCCTATCGCTCCGCCTCAAGTGCATTTCGTCACATTGATTATTTGGCGAAGGGAGCGCCTCGGCATTAGACTCATTTTCTTCTTCAGTTGTTTCTTGTTGATTTTCAATAATTGAATTTTCCGAGACATCTTCAATTACATCAACATTCTCGACAAAACCATTTTCCCCCTCTTGCTCGAGATCTTTGAAATATGTTTTCCTTGGTTTTTGTATATGAGCATTTTCCGGACTTTTCTCAAACGGAAAACTTTCTTCATCAAACTTATCATCACGTGCAGTAAAAACTCGCTGTTTTTCTATATCCCACAATGTATACCCATTAGGAGCATAGCCAATCATAACTGATTCCCTGCATTTTGGAGACAGTTTTCTTCTCAGCTGATCAGGAATCCAAGCAAATGCTTTGCACCCAAACATCCTCAGCTTATTTAAATCTGGTGAATGGTCATACCATTTTTCAGCCGGTGTCTTGTTGTCATTCAGTGCAGCAGTAGGACTTCGGTTGATCAAATATACTCCAGTTAAAGCAGCTTCACACCACAGTCTTTTCGGCATCTGGGATTCCATCAACATCATTCTAATTTTTTCAGTGAGAGTTCTATTAAACCGTTCTGCCACTCCATTCTGCTGAGGCGAATATGCAACCGTTGTGTGTATTTGAATTCCTTTCATTTTATACCATTTATCCTGTTCCTTAGACAAGTACTCTCCACCTTGATCTGTTCTTAATTTTGAAATGGGCAGTATAAATTTGGCTGTAGCCATTGCTTCATATTCTTTCATAGCATCAAATACTTCTGATTTCTTTTTAATCAAGTAAATATTTGCAAAATGTGTAAAATCATCTATGAAGGAAACGAAATATCTTGAACCATTCCAAGCAACTGGGTTAATCGGTCCACACACATCTGAATGAATTAACTCCAATGGCTGTTTAGCTCTTTCTCTTGTATGATTGAATGGACTACGTGTCAGTTTACCTTTGATACAAATTTTACATAGTCCAGACTCTTTTTCTTGCATATTTTCCAATGAACCTTCTTTAACTAATTTCAACATGTTATCTTTACCAATATGACCCAAACGTTTATGCCACAAATCAAATTTACTATTAGTACTAACAAAGGCGCTACTGCTCACTAAATCAATTTCCAATTCATAGAGTTCGCCATTTAAGCACGCAGTCGCAACAACTTGTCCATTTTTCAAAATTATCGCCTCACTCTTCTCAAATACCACATTTAAACCTGCTTAGTTTATCCAAATTTTGCAACGCTGTTATTAATGGGTCATATTTCTCAGGTAACGTTAAGAAAAATTGAGCTAATAAATCGGTTTCTTCCATTTCAGCACCACTACTTTTCAACTTTCGAATCAAGTTTTCAAAATTGACCAAATGAGACGTAACTTTGTCATCATCACCCATTCTAAGTCTCGCTAATTGCTTCCTTACTAACAATTGATTAACAGCAGACTTTTTTGCAAACATCAAGTGGAGACTTTCCCACATTTCTTTAGCAGTCTCCTTGTCACGTACATATGACAAGCATTCATTATTTATGAAACTGACCAGACGGTCCTTCGCTTTCTTATCTCTTTTCAAGAAGTCACTCCTATCCTTTCCTTCAGTGGGTGGATCGCCCGTTAAAACGTCCACTAAATTCAGGGAGTCCATATGAACCTTGACCCTGAATTGCCACTCATCAAAATTGCAGCCGTTAAACTGCTGGATCCCAATATTATTATTGTTGCTTTCGCCCATAACCTATTATATTTGATCCAAATTCCAATGAGATTCTATAAAATTGAATACGAAGGAAGAATATTTTATTTGACTTGAAAATTACAACTTGACAATATCTCAATTATTTTATTCAAACCGATTGCTCTGATCTTAGTCTTGTGTATGAACAAATGTGTTTTACTTTGTACTTGGTGACAAAATGACACCGGTCACATTTTAAATCCTCAGCGTGCCATGTCATGTTATGATTTACTTAAGACTGGATTTATGTTTGGTGACGAAATCGCACTGGACACACGTTAAATCAATCCTTGGTGACCTTGTATCTTAATAATAATGTGTTTAATAATTAAATTTATCATTAATAATACCTAATAATAATAAATAATAAATTTAATCGTAGAATTGTGATTACAATTATCGACAAGTCAACAGTTAAAATATTTGTATAAATAAAATCACTACAGCAGGCATCCACACTCGCATATATAAATTGTAACACATTCGTAAAAGAGTGTAAATTCCTGGACAGAGTAAAAGGCGTTTTGTTGAAGAATAGTGAAGTTTTTTTTTTAAATTAATTTTATCACAGTTTGTGAGATCTTTTGGCAGTAGATTATATAACTTCGTAGCCACATTCAAAGGTACTTTTTCCTCTTGTATTGTAGTGATACACATTGCCTACCTTATGAAATGAGTCAAGATCCATATGAACGTAATCTAACAGCTTTAGCATGTATATGCATGGCAATGGTAAAGTTATCATTGTTGCATAGTCACGTAGCTCACATTTTAAATTCTTGGTAGTCTCGTGTGTTAGAATCCTATGGCGCATATGCGGTGTTCTGCTTACGGTCCAAAATATACTGTCTTTGTTAGGTACATTGGCACAGATGTTCCTATCCCATCCCCTCCCCGTCCCGTCCAATTATATTATATATCAGGGGCTCAAAACTGTATGGCAGACACCGAACCACGAGGTGCATCTGAACCGCTACTACAAATCACACATTTCCCAGTTGGGTTATTTTTGTTTAGGGTTTACGGAATATATTTGGAGAAATTCTGACCTGTCAGTCTTAGAGTTGTCAGCACATTTGATGGTTGGCCTCCTTGTATGGAAAATTCAAACTGATGAAATTTTTCTAACGTGAGACAAATGACTTCCATGCTATATTGGAGAATCCCCAGACACCTTTTCTATATTTTTTCCTCTCTTCCTGGCTAGTAGATCCTTTGTTGATCTATCCGTTATAGTCAATGAGAGGAACTGATTTTTTTTTACTCCTTCATTCAAGCACTGCTCCAAAAACCAACAATTAAGGCTCCCCTGTAGTCAATTTGTATTTCAATGTTAGACCACCAGCAATACACATCTTTAGACGATGTACTCTTCAAGTGAGACCAACGATGTATCTCTATCCTTCTCAGTTTTGCATATTCTCTTCATTTATTGTTAAACACAATAGACCATGTACAGGGTGTAAATCGAAAAGTGGAACATGGGCGTTTAACATGGGAAATTACTTTTTCTTTGCTCAACGTTTTCTAATTATTTTACGAAAAAATACTTCAAATAAAAGTTATAGAGATATAAATTCTTCATCTAAATCATCTGAAACGATTATTCTACCTCTTCTTGTTCATGAAAAAATTAATTATAAAGATTCTGTTTTCACGAGTTTTTAGGCCAAGTAGCCATGGACTATGTATTTCTTTTATCATCACTTGCTTACACTGGTAGGGTCACAACGGAAGGATCAAATCTGTCCTTTTAATTCAGATGAACATTATTACAATACATGGCATTTCAGGCTTGAAAAATATAAAAAAGAAATGCAAGCTAGTTGGTATATGGCTGGCGATAACAAGGATTGTGTTAAAGTTGATAAGAACGGAAATGGATTGAAAAGACTGTGGCAACAACAATTAACAACCTTCCCACTCGCTCGATTAGAACATGCGGAAGCCGTAATTACCAAATTTCCCACACTGAAGAGCTTGTTAGAAGTATGTTGTCTTTTTAAAGTTCTGTACTTTAGGGTTTGTTTACAGGAATATGAACGTTCAACACATACAGATGGAGAGAAGCTTTTACAAGATATACCTATTCGCAGAGCAGCTGGTCCAATGACTTCTTTCCGCAGATTGGGTATAGAACTTAGCAAAAAAGTGTACAAATTTTTTTCTTCTGTAAACGGCGATATGGTTTTGTGAAATAAAAAACAATTTTTAATATTCATTTAATAAACTATATGAACCAGTAACTAATCCAGTTCAATTGTATCACATTGAGGTGTGCCACCCGGGGCCTCTTCGGAAGCACTCGCTTCTACACACGCAGTACTTGGTGCGGGTGTCGAAACTTCGCTGCTTGGTTCAGGTTTATCTTTTATTTGTGTTATTTGGTAGTCAGGTTTCTTAATTGCCGTCGATATTATAGCATTTTCTACATCAACCAATGTAGCACTTGTTGTAGGTGGATTTGCTTCCACCTTTGAAACAGAAATATCAGGTAAAGTGCTAATTGTTGTTAATATGTTGACTGGAGATGGCACTACTTCAGCATCTTGTGGCGTTGTTTTTGGTTCTACTGGAACTTGTGGTGGAGGCAATAGTTTTGGTTCCACTACAGAACTCCGCGATACAGGATTTGATAGTACAATTTTAGCGTATTTTAGAGGATTCATAGTTCGAAGAGGTACAGTTAATGTTGGTCTTTTTAATGTTGTCGTGGGCTGTACAATATGTGTCGGTAATACTGTGGACGTTATCGGTATCTGCTTATTTATAAACACGAACTTGCCTACTGGATTGGAGACGATGTTCTTTTGTATTGCATGTGGATGCACTATTTCTGATACTGAAACATCTGAGGTATGTAATTTTGAATTATCGGTTAACATTTGGTTATCGTCTGCAAAAATAATCGGTAGATCCATAATATCTTGTGAAGTTAAGTTGGTGGGTGGTGGTAAATTTGTAGAAAATGATGATATCACATTTGATTTTACGCCTGAAACGGGTGGTCTTTGATCTGAAAGCTGTTTCTTGGAAGTTATATATTTTGTAAGGCCTACAATGAACGTTGATTAACATAAAGTTATCTAATTAATAACTTACGATGACCAGGATGAGTGGTATGCGTCAGTAATTTTTTATTCGTCATGGGAAGAACGATGGGCGTGCTTCCTGTACCTCTCACCGAATTTCCAAAGGACTTCAATTTTCCATCTGGCATTATCATGACGGGTGACGACTTTGAGTTACTCGAAAATGATCTATTAGTACCAGCAATTAATTTTGCAGTGGCATTGGTGGTTAAGGTCACATTTTCTAAAACTACACAACTCTTAACATAGCGGCCTTATAATTAAAATATACTTACCCTTTATTGATGAGCTTGTTGTTTGGGTTGGCTGAGGTGCGGTCATATTCCCCTTCCCGCCATTTTGAAGCAGGTGTGCAAGAGTACCTGAAGTCAGAACTGATCGATTCAAACCCATTGCTCGCATTCGCATTTTTGCTATTAGTAATAATAATATTAAATTAGATTAGTAAGCAGTAAGTGATCTTTTACAATGTTATGTATAAAAACGGGATCTAAACTAGCAATAAATTGAAATTGCAATTGCAACAATGTCCATTAAAAAAGAGAAAGCACGAACTATAGCGAAATCTTTTTAACTTGATTAAATAAAAAATGAGTCTGTATCAAGGAGTTTGAAGATGAAACAAAAAAGACACAATAGTTAAACTATAATAAATATTTTATATTTGAAACTTGTCATTAGTTCCAGTGCAGTTCTCGAATTCTATAAAAAAGCATATGACCGTTTCTTTCATTTCTCTAGAGTATTCTACAGAAACCTAATCTAATTGTAATTGGCGCATTATATGTAAATACCGGAAGGAGATTATTCTATGATGGAAGTAGTGTTCCCTTAAAGACGGATGACAAGGTGAAATAACGGCCGCTGTTTTTAGTTCGCGACGGTGAAAAGAACGCTAGGTTATGGGCGTGTGGCTCTTTTAATTTTGTTGAAGACGCAATTCGTCAGTTTCCAAATAGTGTGTAAAAGAAGTTAAACAGTCTAAAATTTAAATTATCATTAAGTGAGTTTGTGGGAAGTTTTTCTACAGGCTCGCATTTACTGCCAGCCAGTCAGCCAGCCAAAGTGAGATTAAAAGCTCCCTTTTTACAAATAAATTTGCAAAAATGCGCTAAAAAGTGGTTCATTTATTAGAAAAATTATGAACAGCTTTTATTTAAACCATTTTACGGTAAAATCAGTGATATACCTTTTGGACACTGTATAAAAGCGATCAATGTGGTCATGCTTTTAATGCCCGAATTTCGCTAATTGACTCACTTCTAATATAATTAAGACTATTACGATTCAAGGTCAAAGAAAGATGTGGAAAGTGTAATTTTAAAATTAATATGTTGATATCTCATCTGCACTAATAAAATAAAATGGGCATATATTATATAAACTGGAAGGACTGCTGTAGAGAAATGATTCCCATAAAAATCACTAGTTGTGCAAACCTTTCAGTGCTGTACAGAATAAAATAAATGGCACAATTTACAGCAAATGTATTGTATTGAGTTTTGCATAGTGCGCTCAAATTTTTATATTGTACATTTGTCGCCATTTCCAAGGAAAATGCCATTCTAAGCATCATCTGGCTGATGTTTACAGTAAAGATATTGCTAGTAACAAGAAGCATCCTTCCTCTTTATAAATATTGAAATTGAAAAAAAGACCTAGAAAGTATAGCCGTCATGCAAATGTGTCATTAGAAGAACTAATAAGAAACAACTTGTGTTAGGTATTACATGTTCATATAAGGGCATGTAACATAGAAATTACCTGTAGAAGTCACTATATTATTATGGGAATCAGCCGAATTGTTGACTGTAGTGGAAGGTTGAACATCGTTGTTTTTGGTAATTTTATTGGAATTAGTATCAGAGTGTGATAATGAGGAGGAAAGTGAAGGAGTGGAGGTGTCGGGAGAAGAAACGGAAATACCTTGATTAACCTGAGCTGCCCACTTTGCCTGAAGCTTCGCTTTTCCTTTTGATCCTGGTGGTCTACCCACTAAAATTGGAGTTGATATCATGAAAATCACCCATTACTAATTACAAGATTTACCTGGTCTACTTATTTTGGGTGTGGGGGATGGTGGTTCACTATCTATTGAGCTCCCATTAGAATTATTACGTCTCCGTTCTATCTTAGGTCGTTTGGATAGTGGGACTTCTGAAGAGCCATGAGGTGATTGCCTTAATTGGGGAGGGAATGGAGAAAGTAACAAACTACTGATAACTTCCCCAATGTGGTCCTGCAGAAACAAAATTTGGAGAAATTCACAATAACAAGACAAAATTTTCTTACCACCACACTTCGGTCAATTCCAGCTTGTGTAATTCCTTCAGCTCTTTTCTTCTTTTTATTCACTCTCAAATAATCATCTGCAAAACCTACTACAATTAATCCATTTTCAACCCGCATCCGTTCTCTTAAATCTTCTATATCCTGTTGCCTGAAATAATGAAATTGAAACGTGAATAATTACATTACATTGAAATCTTACGAAGCAGTATTGGAACATTGTCCAATCACAAAAAGAACTGGACATTGTAACTCCAATAAGCTATCATCTGGTTCGCCGCGTTTTCCTTCCGCAGTTAGTAATGAGAAACCTAAACACACCACACAGAGCACATGTTCAACCTGAGCTACCTGTAAGGCCAAAGCTGAGCCAACATTGAAACCGATCAGTATAATCGGTCTGCCGGGATAATCGGCTTTGACTTCTTGAATTTTAGCCCTTGTTGCGGCCAGCATTTGGTCAGCACAATTAATCATTGTTAAACGATTTGCTGAACTCCCTACAATAACTCATAGATGAGCTTGAAAATCTGTTTATAATTAATTACCCATGTTGGTGTGAACTGCGACGACTGTACATAAATTTGACAACAATGTGATCCATTTATGTTGCCTTTTAAGCTGATTAGGATTAGAAATACTGGGAGACGAAGGTACGATGACAACAATCGGATTTCCGGGTAATTTTCGAGGCCTAGTTTGTACAAGACTGCTAACGAAAGGGTCCCATGGTCGTTTTAGCAAGTGAAACAGGCTTTCGTTACTTGTCGCGCCAACTCGGCTATTCGCATTTGGACCAAACATCATTTTATCCACAAATACAGGAAGTTTTGATTTCAATGTCTACAACCAAAGAATTAAAATTGATTCATTCTATTTTATTCAAATTAAAACATTTTAAACAAGTTAAAAAGTAATCGTAAACGATTTACAAAAAGCGCATTTCCACTTGCATTCATTTCCCATTTGTAAGATGCAACTTCTGTTAAAATCGTAAAAATCCGGCCACAAAAGTGAAAGATAGCGTTGCAAATGTGTAATCCATTTTTGACGTGCTAATTCAATTTCAGTTTATAAGAAGAATTTCATTTCAATGCTTTTCTAAATAAGAAAATTTAAATTTTGAAACTAACGTTAGATTTTCCTTTGTTCCAAGCGCCTATGCATCAAATTTGTTTTAAATTCTTCCATAAATAAAAAAGTTGGCACTGCGCATGCGCAAAACCAAATTTTGAAAATGGCGTTTGATTTTCCTTTATTCCAAGTGCCTATGTATCAAATTACGTTTAAATTCTTCCATAAATAAAAAGTTGCCACTGCGCATGCGCAAAACCAAATTTTGAAACTGGCGTTTGATTTTCCTTTATTCCAAGTGCCTATGTATTAAATTTCGTTTAAATTCTTCCATAAATAAAAAAGTTGTCACTGCGCATGCGCAAAACCAAATTTTGAAACTGACTTTAAATTTGCTTTTATTCCAAATGGCTATGTATCTAATTTCATTTGAATACCTTCATAAATAAGAAAGTTTGCAATTCGGTGTGTAAATGGTTGAGATGCGCAAAGGGCACTGTGAATGCTGATTGATTAGGCTCAACTTTTGGAATTGTGTTTTATATGGCTAAAGCTATACGCATATTGAATTTCATGCAATTGGGTTGATAACTAACGGAGATGCCAAAATGGCGTTTGATTTTCCTTTTTTCCAAGTGCCTATGTATCAAATTTCTTTTAAATTCTTCCATAACTAAAAAATTGGCACTGCGAATGCGCAAAACCAAATTTTTAAACAGGCGTTTGATTTTCCTTTATTCCAAATGCCTATGTAAATTTCATTCAAATACTTCTATAAATAAAAAAGTTTGCAATTCGGTTTATAAATGGTCGAGATGCGAAAAGGGCATTGTAAATTTTGAATCGATTCGACTCAACTTTTGGCATTGCGTATTATATGGCTAAAGTTATGCCCATATTGAATTTCATGCAATTCAGTTCATAACTAACGGAGATGTCAAAGCGATCGGACATTTCTAAACGAAATTCTCGCTCACACGGACAGATAGATGGACAGACAAACAAAGGAACAGACGGACAGACCAACAGACAGCAATACAAAATTATGAACGATCTCTAGGATTGTTAATAAACGGCAAAAGTGTAAAATTATGGAACATGTAAAAAACGGTTTTTTGTTTTTTTTTACAATAACTTTTTTTGTAAGCGGCACAGAAAAAATTCTTTCCTTGATGCAAGCCTCGACACCATAACGAACCAAATAGCGAAAAAAGTAGAACAATAGCTCTTAAGATAAAGAACTAGTAGCGTCTAGAAACGAGCGGGCGGACGGACAAAGTGGCCACAATAGCGCATTTTTTTTTATTGTGGAAATGCGCTAAAAAGGAATTTACGTGTGTTGTTTTTCCCTATTTCTATCTCTTCTGAATCGCGCCTAATTTTATGCATTCGAAATAACTTCTTAAAACAAATATAGATCTGGCGGCCAAATGAACTAATTTGTATAGTGTTGCTTTGGCTTCACGGGTACGGCCACAACGGAGGGCCGACCATCGCTCCGACCATAGCATCGCACCATAGTACCCTCGCTCCGACACACGCACACGGGTGGTCACATCTATGATCTAAGCTGGACGGTTCGCAATTTTGTATCAGTTTCTCGGCATCTTCTTGCTCAGATTATTAATTCAACAACAAGTTCGGGATAAACAGAACAAAAACTATCAATTTGATTAATTTTTCTTTATCTACTCAATTCCATGGTACCAGGGTCTGGCTCAGACCATAGAGCAAATGAGCGGAGCGGAGATCGAGGCGCCAATATGACCGTTAACATTTAAAATCACTGTGATCGATGCTATGGTGCTATGCTATGGTCGGCGCTCCGTTATGTTCGCCCACTTACGCCCCTTAAACGTTTACCGGCACTATACCAATAACTGAGAATTAATTGATATGACAGCCAGATCTATACTTGTTTTAAGAAGTTGGTTCCATAAAATAGGCACCCTTCAGAAGCTATTTTGTCATTTAAAAGTAGACATGGGGAAAAATAATAGACAATAGACGTAAATCTCTGTATCTACTTCTTAATAAATATCACTGGAGATATTGAACAAGAGAGAGAACAATCGTTCTTTATACACCGGTTTCGACGAGAAAACAATGTAACGCATTGCATCGATGTCGCATAAATAAATTTCGTACGCTTTAGATGAAGATTGCGTATATCTGCTCTGAATTCAGCTCTAAATACTCTCTCTCAGTGCCTGAAGTTTTCGACTTACGGTCGGATCGATTATTAAGGATTCTCAGATCCTTTATAGTTTTGTATATTGTCGTCCGTCCGTCCGTGGGCGTTATGCTACATTTCCACGCTTCCCTTCAAAGCGACATTCAACGGGCACGAGCACGAGCATGTAAATGGGTTGCTCGCCTCTGCCCGCTTCTGCTTGCCTGCTTTTGCCTGTGCTCGTCACCGATCCGGACTAGTGTCGGTTTTTCGACAAAGGTCAAAGGGTGAATCTGTTTGCGCTCGTGTACCTGTTTACATGCATGGACGGGCTTGGTGCGATTTCTATAAATTTTTATCATCCACCACCTTCTCCGAGCTCTTCGTCTCTTTTCAATTCGTTGTTGTTGTTTTTTCCGATAAAATATAATAATAAATAAAATAACATCTACGTCCGCCATGTTTAGTTGTGAGTTTGTTCCGAGTTGTGCTCAGATGCGTGTAAACAGCTTGCTTTATACGCGGTGATTCGCCGAGCAGCTTACCGAGATGCTTGCCAAGCTGCTTGCCGCGTGTGGAAACGTAGCCATTATAACTCTTTTTAAATGTGACCGATTGTGTTGAAATTTGGTGTACGGGTACTTTGGACATTTAGGACGGATGCTATTGATTTTCAGGAAGCTGGTTCAACAGGCACAAAAGCTACACGACTTCGAGTAAATCGGGACCAGGAAAAACTGCGGGCTCAATATAATAGAAATCAACATATTTCATTCCCTAGGTCCGGACTTTCGCTAGATTATTCCCCATGACATGTGTAACAATTCAATATAACTCTTCTCTGTGCTATAGGTCAAAAGTTTCAGAGCAAATTGTAGGTACCCAAAATTATTCTTTACACATGAATTTGGAGTTGTAAAAGCTTTCAAACGCATTGATGCTGATGTATTGACGTCGTCTGTGAACGTATCTGTTGTTCTTCTCTGCGGCGGTTGCCAATGAGCGCCACGTTCAAACTCCCTGTGGAATAGTTTTGAATTTAATGCTGGAAGGTGGAAGGGGTTGGATAAATGGTTGAAACTTTCCTTCAATTAATTAACAAACAATTGAGATTTTGAACTAAAACTGTAATCTCTATACAAAAATTAAATGCTGTCGATTAACCCAAATCTTTCCAAAATGTTACCTTTTTATGGTTTTGCTTACCGTAGACTTCTTCCCTTAACTATCTGAAAATTAGGTATGCCATTTTTAGCGCATTTTCCAACTCAAGTTGGAAGACGTTATTATAAGTAGGGGAGTTAGCACGAAATCCACTGAACGAAAATGATCAAAATTTTAACCATGGAGTTCCATTTTGTCCTATTCTAGTATGCTAAAATCGATCGTCTGCCGCCTCAGGTCATATGACTTAAGGCGCTGCCGGTATTTCTTGTGGTACCAATTCTGAAAGGTTGTTTTTCGAGAAAATAAGTTATACACCAAATGAAAACGTTGATAGCTCTTAAAAAATATTTAAAAAAATCGCGCACATTTGATAACTCCGTAAAAAAACAATTCTTAGTCGGTTTTTCACGAAATTTCTACGGATATAACTAGGTTACCGTTGGATGAATGAAGCTGATTTTTTTTACAGACTAATGATAGGTAAGTACAGCCAATGACTATGAGAGTGTTTCTTTTTTAAATTTTTTCTTCTTTTACCTTCGGGATTAAAAGTGCTACTTCAGTGTTCCGTTAGTGCACGTTAGTGCCGCTGAAGAAATCGTTAGTGCACAAAAGGAAACTTACTATTTTTTAAAAATATTTGTGGGTTTGCTAACTTCATGCCAGCAGACCCATTTAAGAAAATCGATGCAATCTTTACACTAGTTAAACTAGCAGCGTTAGTGCTCGTTAGTGCCGCCAATATAAACGTTAGTGTTCAAAGTGTAACAGCTCAAAACGTTGTAAAAAGCGGTCTGCTAACTTCATGCAGCAGACCCGCATTTGTCAAATTGGCCCTGTCCTAATGCAAATTTGAAGCAACTCGTTAGTGGTCGTTAGTGCTTCACATGGAACGTTAGTGCTGCAAGGGCGCCGCACCAAAAAGGTACCAAACCACCTCAAAATTAAACTTGACTTATTGGAACCTGCCAACTTCACGCCAGTAGACCAACGACCAAAATCCGTTTGATTTTCTACTTTAATCGACCGGTAAGTATTAGTCGAGGTATTAGTGCTCGTTAGTGCCGCCAATATAAACGTTAGTGCTCAAAGTGTAACAGCTCAAAACGTTGTAAAAAGGGGTCTGCTAAAAAAATTAAAAATAGTTCCAAAATACATTTCGTTCATTCTCTTCGACTTTTTTTTGGATTGGAAACAAATTTTGCTAGTTGTTGTGTTGTCAGCAGAACCAATAAGTTATAGTTAATTTTTAAGATGCTTTGGTAGTTTTTCGACACGGATCCATTAAAAGCACTGACGTTTACAGTGAAGTTCTAACGAGCACTAACGAGGAGCTATGCGCATATTGAATTTCATGCAATTCGGTTCATAACTAACGGAGATGTCAAAAGAGCCTACGTTATTTTTTGGGCTACATTGTCAATTCACGAACTCCGATCTACAAATTTGATAAAGAATCCACCTGCAAAATTTCATCGTAATTGGTCCATTCGTTTATGAGCTATCGTGCTAACTGACGGACGGACGGACAGACCGCAAAATTATAAACTCGCTAGGAGCTCGTTAATAAACAACGTTTAGAGTGGAAATAGTTACTCTAGTACGCGATATTAGTTTTCCGTGCATTTTAATGAGCGTCCCATCCCGTCTCTGTGAAAACCTATTTCAATTATTTAGGAAATTTCCATGGCTTAACATGATTTGGCTAATTGAATTTATTGCCGAATTTTTGATAAAATAATGAGAAATGCACCTGAAAATGAACTAGTTCGTATATCACAAGATGAGAAAAAAAATCATCTTTCGTTTGGTGTCATTACGAACTCTCTAAGTTAATATCGATCTGCAAAAATTTTAATTCTATTGATGGCAAACTGAATGAAATAGGATGGCTGAATATGACAAATAGAAGAATGCTGCATTCGGCTTGTTTATATTATAAAGTCATTACTCGCCAAACACCACAGTATCTTTTAAATAAGCTTCGATTCGGCATAACATACGTGATTTTTTCTTGAGACATAAAAATTTAGTTATAACACTGCTTCATAAAACCTCCTTGTATGAAGGATCATTTAGTTATAAGTTATAACGCGTCTTAAGGTTTATAATTCAATACCCCCTGAAATTAAAGAACTTCCGATACAACATTTCAAAGTTGAACTACATAAACTATACCTATCTACTTAATCAATACACCTCTTAAATAAAAATTAATCTCGATAAGCTTCTATTTTTATTATAATTTAATTGTCCCGTTAAAATTTTTCATCGTAATGCCATAATTAATGTTATTTAGTAATCAAACTGGGTTGAGTGGAAGACCAAGCTGCTACTTAGTAGTTGCTTGAACTCACTCCATTTGGGAACAAGTGAGGCAGTTCTTAAATACCTACTCTGTTTTTTTTGTATAGGTGGGGAAATGCTCCTTATGCACACTAGAAGGAAGTTCCAGAGTAGTGTGGGGCTCTCCCATTTGCTAGGAATACCCACTAAAACCCCACCTAAGGCTTCGGCTGCTGAGGCCATTTGCCTATCACCCATTTTTATTACTTTTATTTGAAGAGTTTTTACACAGATATAGACAAGTACGACGAACAAGAACTAAGCAACATACATACATACTACAGAATATCACATTTCATTCGAAATTCCAATGCCTCGCATAATATCACAGATTATCACAGATCATTTAAAATTCCAATGCTTCGCATGAATCCCAACACTCCTCGACAGCGATCCTGACTAGAAAAAATTGTTTCCCATATCTCACTAATTTTAAATTTAATTTCCGAGTCAAGTACTATCATTTTACTGACCAGTTTTGCATTAAATTTTACCTGAAACCGTCAAGAAAATCTAAATTTCAGGGTTATTTTGACATTAGAAAGTTGATCTTTACCTGACTAGTACTGTAATATTTTTGCCTGATTCCCATTGCAGTCCTAGTACATGCAAAATAACAATTAAATCGTTCATTGAATAAGTTTTTCAATCAACGATAATTATAATATGATGCAGACTATGTGGATATTTTTAAATATTAATATACCTACACAAAGGATAATGGTTTTTTAATTACTAACAATTAATGGAATATGTGTGGAAGTAATTATTCCTTTAGTTTTGCGCCAGTCATTAAAAGGTTTGTACGCCTTTTCGTACTTCTTTCTTGACTTTGTGGGGAGCGAATATTGCACTACGGCGGCCGCAGCTTCGGCTACATTATAACAACGTCTCGCGTACTCTTCACTGATACCTGCTTTTGTACTTAGTTATAAAGACTGTAGTTGAAAAGTACAAAGCATAAGCTGCAAACTGCACTAAAAATGACACTGATTGTTTTAATTATTTTGAAATCTCTATGGAAACAATTAAATAATGTGATTTAAGCATGCGCGATTAGGTATCAAAATTTCACACATATGAATAATTTAATTTGGAAAAGTTATCTACATGTTGCGGTTTCAGGTAAAACTTTATACATAATATGTCATGAAAGTGAGTCCACATGACTTGGAGGCATTAAAGAGATACGAGGACGCGCACTCGTACTTTTCAATAAGCCTCCGCGTCAAGCGTAAACAACCACTTTCATGACTTTTATGTAAATAACTATTACCCGAAGTCGTATTTCGTAAAATTTCAATCTTCATATAGAGAACATTTGATTAATGTCAATATGTCAGTGATGACAGGAGCCATTATAGACATTTAGCAATGTGACAGGGGCGGCTGGAAAAGTGACAGGTACGGCGGATAAAGTGACAGGTGCGGCCGGTAAAATAACAGGCGGCAGGAAAAGTAGTCCGGTCTGCCTCTGTCATGGAAACTAAACTTTCCTGACATAAAATAGGCATGAAAATGAACGTTTCATGACGATTTTGGGTAAAAGTTATTAATGGCATCACACATGACAAATCCCTTTGTAGTGTCAATCTTATTAGACCAAAGGATTTGATTTCATTAATCATTAGCGGCAAAACGGCAAAATGGAATACCTACACCTACTATTCAACAATTCCCAACCTCGAGGAGTACAATGTTTTTCACTTTCAGTCTTGCCTATCATTCAGGAGAAGAAACAGTAAAAGTGGTCCGTATACCATCTACGTGTAAAAATGGGCTATCGCTAATCATCATCGTCCGCACGGTACATATGTACCTTTTTAACTTGATTAAATGTTTTTATTCCGTTTGAAATTGGCAATCTACATTTTACAACTGTCGCAAATTTGGCGTCTCAGTCCGTACAATCCGAATAGCTTCATGCAACATGATAGCAGGTTAAAAAACTATGAATTCTGTATCAACCTGCCGCAATTTGAAATGTTGATATTCGTCATTTATTTCAGTATAAAGAATTACGAAACGACAGGGGATTGTTGATGTTGTCTAATTAGTATAATACAATAACGAACGTATTAATTATGAAATATAACGGGCCGAATCTATTATTAGTTAAGAAAGTCTACTTTCTAAGCAAGTCCGCTGCAATCTACCGTTGTTCTAATTCCAATACACCTTGGATACTACACGGTTTAATAACTGCAAAACCACAGGTTTCTTTGTCTCAATTAAAACGAACTCTGTTGATTCGCAATTTTTCAACGCGTTGGCTACCTACCACTCGTGAGAACTACGTGATACTTCCTCATTCAAATAAGAGTAAGTAATACAACCGTTATTATGAATAAACTCTACACCACTGCAACTGCATCCTTTACCTGCAGTGCGCTAAATGCAGGTTCGTTAAGTGCATTCAAACAGATGCCGTTTTATATAAATTAACGCAGATAGTCTCCAACGCGGCGCATTTGCAGTTCATCACAAGTTTTGCATCTTTCTGACATTTAGTATAATGTGATTGATTGATGATTGATGATGTGCGGCGCATTGAATAATTTTTTAGCGCATTTCCACAAAAATAAAAAAATGCGCTATTGTGGCCACTTTGTCCGTCCGTCCGTCCGTCTGTCCGGCCGTCCGCTCGTTCGTTGAGACGCTACTAGTTCTTTACCTTAAGAGCTATTGTTCTACTACTACTCGCTATTTGGTTCGTTATGGTGGTGGCTTGCACCAAGGAAGGAATTTTTTCTGCGTTTATTGTTAAAAAAGTTATTGTAAAAAAAACAAAAAACCGTTTTTTACATGTTCCATAAGTTTACACTTTTGTCGTTTATTAACGATCCTAGAGATCGTTTATAAGTTTGTATTGATGTTTGTCTGTTGGTCTGTCCGTCTGTTCCTTTGTCTGTCTGTCCTTCTATCTGTCCGTGTAAACGATAACTTTGTTTAGAAATGTCCGATCCTTTGACATCTCCGTTAGTTATGAACTGAATTGCATGAAATTCAATGTGAGCATAGCTTCAGCCATATAATACACAATGCCAACAGTTGAGTCGAATCGATTCAAAATTAACAGTGCCCTTTTCGCATCTTGACCATTGATAAACCGAATTGCAAACTTTTTTATTTATAAAAAAATTTAAATTGGATACATAGGCACTTGGAATAAACGAAAATCAAACGCCAGTTTCAAAATTTGGTTTTGCGCATGTGCAGTGCCAACTTTTTTATTTATGGAAGCATTTACATGAAATTTGATACATAGGCGCTTGGAACAAAGGAAAATCTACCGTTAGTTTCAAAATTTAGATTTGCGCATGCGCAGTTGCAACTTTCTTATTTAGAAAAGCATTGAAATGAAATTTTATAAACTGAAATTGAAATAGCGCGTAAAAAATATAACGTTTTGATAAATTAAAAAATCGTATTTTTGCGTAAGATTTTACAATAATTTGAATTAATAAAAATTTATGACTTCAGTAAATTGGAAATTTGAAGAATGTTGCTCCAAAGAGGGAAATCAATCTTGTGGATAAAACTTCTGCGACACTGCTGTAATAAATGTGTGAAAGAATGTGTTTTCAGTAGGAATAGACTCTTTGGTTATGTACATGACTATCCTTACGTAGCTTTCTGTTGCGGTGCAAATGGTTACAACACCCTGAGATGGAATATGGAGTGCTCCTACAATAGACATGGAACATCAACATACCACAAAACTCAACTCACCTCTTTTTTTCCTTAACAATAATTTATAATTTGTCTCTAATGGTTGTTGGTCAAAATCAATTGAGCATTCTCCTAAGCATTTTGGGCATTTAAATGTCCTTTGAACCATTTTTATAACATATCCAGCTATATAAGTGATTATGTTGGCAGACATATCATTTATCGCAATGATTGGCATATCATAATCATGTTCTTCAATACAATTGCTGTCCTCCAAACCGCACTGTTTGCTAAGAGATATATCAAAAGTTTCATTAACTTTGGAAGAAGACCTCGTACTTGGTACTCTAGGACCGTTGATAAATCCAATACTACAATTTCCTCCCCTTCGACTTTTGTAAATAGCAGTAATTTCCGAAAGGAATACATGAATTGCATTGCAGTGGGGTTATTGTTCCAACCATTGCGAGCTCTAGAGATAATACTGATTGTAAATTTCTATATTACATAAAAAACAGAGTGTTACATGACCGTATGTAAAAAAAATGATCAAAGTCCTCGTGTGAGATCGAAGGGACTTCAGCGCATTTTTGTGTGGCAGATCAGTGTTTTATTAGCCAATATTGACTCCACCATCAATAAGATCTTGCCGAAAGCTACCACGTTCACTTTGTCGGTACCATTTTCTCACTTACCGTGCACTCGCAATTCGCGTTTGAAGTTTTGACTCCACCATCAGTAAAATCCTTTGGGGGTTACCATATTCCCTTTGTCGACACCCACTTCTGATCACCCGCAACAATTCGGATTTGAAGTTTCGACTCCACCATCAGTAAGATCTCGTCGGGGTTTACCACATTCCCTTTGTCGATACACAGTTCCGACGTCCCGTTCATTCGTAATTCACATTTTGGTAGATTTCGCTAAAATCCCGGCATAAAATCGTATTCAACTTTTGGGTACTTCACATAGCTCGACCTTCTATTAGTGACACGAGAAAGAGAGACCGCGATTCGCGCTGTAAGAAACTTTTGGGCGCCCAAAGTCGTCTACCCCTCGAAGCGCGCCGCGCAAAAGGTGGTTTATGTCGCCCCTAGGAAAAAAAAACAAAATTCCGCGACGCAGGAGTTGTGCGCGTTGACAAGATCTTCCCGACGACACCAATTTGAAAACAATCGGAGAAAAACTGTAGAAGAAGATAGATAAAAACTGAAAAATCTCCAGGTTAGTATAATACGCTCGGGGATGGCGTCCAGATGTCGTCGACTCCAAATCTTGTAGCCCCATCCCTAACGTTCTTAATTACACGGCCCCGATAGTTACATGTACACTCCTTGTCTTTTTACAAGCGTTTTTCTACGGGCGCGCATTTACTGCCAGCCAGCCAGCCAGCCGACCAGCCAGCCAGCCAAAGTGAGATTAAAAGCTACTTTTTACAAAAAAAAATTGTTGCAAAAATGCGCTAAAAAATTGGGTGGTAGAGGGGATGAAAACAAGCACTTCTTCCAAATAAACCGAGGGCCCAACGAGTTTCGTTTGGGAACCACCCTCAAAAATGTAGAGAAATTTGCATTTCTTTTTAATTTTTTTCTCAACAACCATAACAGTTACAAAGATGGGTGGCACGTCTTTGAATAGCTTTTCGGGTTTGCCCTTCCCGATTTTGCTAAAATTTTTTTCAAAAGTCCTACTACAAAAGGGCACCTCGGTTTATTTGGAACAAGTGCTTGTTTTGATCCCCTCTATCGCCCAATTTTTTTACATACTGTCATGTAACACCCTGTATACACCTACCTTATACACGAAAAAAACATTTCAAGATGTTGACTGCATTTATACATCAAAATGTATTCGAGCCGATGTTTCTCTTCAATTTGGAATTCAAATATTCCAATTGCACTAATCACAAAACCCAAAATTGGTGTTTTTCTTGGAGTCATGTACAATGGTCTCCCTTCTGTAGTTGTGTAGGCCAATAAGTAGTTAATACTATCTTTTATAAACGGATACCATAGTGACTAGTTACTCTCTTTCAGAGGAACTTTGTACCCATATCCCCAAGGGCTCCTTGAATTCAACAAATCAAATAAATAATTTATTCTGGGAATAAAGGCGATTGTGGGCAGGGCTCCGTGAAATTTGGAATGTTTCATATCTACACCAAGAAATTCCAATGCATCAGCAACACTCGAACTGAAAAAGTTTGAGCTGCTAAGGTGACTTAAAGCAGTAAATGTTATTATGTAATAAATAAATAAGAAACTGTGCACAGACTTACTTTCATTTATTGCCTTTGCCACTGAATGTGGAGCTTTTTCAATTTGTTTCCAAAGTTGAGTGTTTCCTCTTCTTGAATTTTATATAATTCTTCAATAAAATGCTACAAAACTTGGCCATCAGGCGTGTCAATAACTTGTAACGTACCCAACATGTTGCGGATCAATTTTAGCAATGATACACATCCATAATGGCAAAGACTTTTTCCGCCGGGTTTGCCGGATGTGTAAACCAAGTTTGCATGTTATGATGATCCTCTACTTGACATCCCAGTTCACATAACATTTTGAAATGTACATTGTGTAATGGGTATTTTTATATAACAACAAGGGAAGTCACTAATTAAATTGGAGCTAATTGTTGGTCAGAAGTCACTAATAAGATCCGACAAATCTACTGTAAACTCACCTTTCATTAGAAACGTCCTTCTGTAATATACGCATAAGGGGCTGGCATGGCAGCATTCAGTCTGACTGGCGTCTCCCGCGCTCAAGGGTCATGTAAACAAATATCGCGACTGCTTAACCGCGATCCTCGCCAATTAATTAAGTAACTCACCGGGGGGGCGTTAGCCCCTTGATGGAACTAAGCTCTCCTGAATCTTCGAACACTCCGGTTGGCGATTGGGGTTGAATGCGTCGTTGGAGATGGCTTCTTGAAGGGTTAAGATGGAGCTCATACCTATTTGGGAAAGGGTTACGCCGCGCGCACGTGTATTATTTAGGATACACATCCCGCCTTGGCCCTCTGACTAGGACCCTCGGCCAATAGATCATTAACGTCGATCTATGTTGCTCATTGCCCTACCTGGGAACGACATCCAGGTCGAGCTCACCCCCGAACTGTTTGTGTTAACAATGAGGCCTTTATGTTTCGTATTGGGTCGACACCATGATCTACTCGAGCGAGTAGATCACTCAGAGGTATAAGCGACGGGAGCTACCCGCGGGACCGCGTCATAGGCACATGCACATAATGCACTCTAAAAGCCTAGGAATATATCCGGATATCTGCCAGGGGTTTTACCATAGCCCAACAACAAAGCACGACCAGCACGATGGCCTGCACAATACACTCACCACCTGCACGTGGGAGACACTCACCACCAACACATGGGAGACACTCACATTAAAGGGCTATTACACCAAACTGACTACTACTTCCGATGCTCTACTTAGCATCCCTTACGATCGTGACCAGAGCGCGTACGCAACTTAACTGCCTTAACACGATCCCTTAAGACCCTTGCACCCACCCATATGTGCAGAATCGCGCATACTTGACCAGTCAGCTTGCCACATTTATCAAATAGGGGTTGCGTTGACATTGTACTTTTTCGTTATTAAGGACTACCCTAAAATATGGTTCTTACAATTGGGACCATCATTGGTCAAGCTAGTGACGACAATGTCACACTCATAAAGCCTCACTAGTGCCTCATTCACCACATTTACCCTCTCAACTGCCGTTAACGATGCAATTAAAAAATATCCAATTGGAATTTTCCAATGTGAGTTATGAGACAACCATTAAAACTAGGGCTTGTTTAGCTGGTTTTAGCTCGAATTTGTTAATCCCTGAGCCAACATCAACATAACCCCATACTTTTTGGGCAGTAAATTCCATTTGGGTTTGGATATCCACTTCATCCATCATTAAAGAGCGAATTAACTTCCCTCCCAAGTGCTCTTGCTTCGTTCACTTTATATTGAAGAACATCGAAAGCTGGTGCACAAAAGCCTGGCGAACCATCTACACTGCTATACCAACTTCGTATCACGGACTGACTAGGAAGTGCTAACGCAAATGTATTTCGTACATACCTACTCATACGCTCTGGACGAATAAAAATGTAAAGTGCGAGCAAATTCTCGAAGTGCTGATGGATAGCTTTCTCTGGTTGTTGTTTGATTTTGCAGATTTTTCATTTGTCGTTGCAACAAGAGACGTGGGACATCGTCAAACGATTTTTCCAAATGCTTTATACCATGTTCCGAAAGTAAATTTTGTTGTCTCGGGGCTAGAATAATCCCCTGCAAGGAGACTACCTTTGTTTTTAATTTGTGGATAGTCCTTGTGGCCTGATTCAATTTTCGTTTGGAGTGCCGCTGTTGCCTTCTCAAATGTTCATATTTATATTTTATTTTTCGCGGGGAATCCCTAAAACTTGTATGTTAGCACAAAGGCAAAAAACGTAGTCACTATTTTCATACGGGTATAAGTGTTGCTTTTGTATATTTATTCGTTTGCGTTACCCTTTCCTGGTTTCTCCCAGAACTGCCGGTTGATGTGATAGTTGATACCTCTCTGTAAAAACTTTAAGATAATTTGATCAAGACATCATCACTTTTATTACCGAGAAATTTCCACAGCTCTTGAAGTTGACAGGTTTTCCTGAGGCATTATCACGGAGACATTGGGTGTTTGTAAACCTCTAAAAAATATAATGAAAAAAGGTAACCTACGATAATAATAAATTTTAAAACCTTGCTTTTTCTATCACATTCAGCGGGGTTGTTATTTCCTGTGATGTGGAAGGTTGCATTAAGAATTCCGTTTTCCCTAAGCATAACGTTGGGGCTGTGTTTAATTTTAAATGACAATGATTTCCCTTAATGTAAAAATCCTTTTTGAAACTTGAAACTTGAAACTTTGACATATGCCTGGCGTCGCCGCCTCTCCCAGGATTTAGTCAACTGTCGTGAGGATGCGTCCCTGGTAGACACTATCAGGGACGTTTCTCCACTACTTTGTTGCCATCGCGCTGGGCCGCGACATATGCCAAACAATGTGGTGGATTTTGTGGATTGGGGGGGTTGTGGGGGGGCGGCTAACTGGGTGTTATCCGACCCGAACGGGTACGGCCACAGCTTCGCCACTGGTATTCTGCCTTAGAGGGAACTCTGCTTTCTAGTGATAGTTTCTTCTCCGGGCGTTCATTGGCTTCCGATGTTCCTATCCTTTGATCCCGTTCCCTTCCCTGTTTTACCTCGTGTTAGGCCCTTTTTATTGTTGTCCTCTCCCTGCGTTACTTTCTGTCCCCTTTTCCTCCTCCCCTTGGCTTCTTCCTCCACCTCCAGTATTCTTCTGCTTTCTTTCTTCCTTGATGTGTGTCTTTGCTCGTCTCTTCCCATAGTAATCCCCGAGACCTCTACCGTTTGGTTTATGGTGGTACTCCATGTGTGGCAGGGTCGGCTTACCTTCCATTCCGAGGCATACAGAATCTTGGCAGCCCGTATGAAATGGTCTTTGTTCCTCTTGTTGGTATGTCCAGTATCTCATCTGCCTCATCTTCAGTCTCCTGGTAATCGTCTTTCCCTCTAGTAGTTCTCTTCTCTGCTTTCTTGTGAGGTTGCTGTTTTCTTCAGTATCCTGAGTGCCTTCCACTCCGCCCTCCTGAATGTTCGTCTGTTGCTCCTTGTTAGCGCTGAAGTGTTATCCGTATAACATTGCCGGTGCTATGTTCGTGTTGTAAATCATTTTCCAGCTGCCCGGTATTTTCTTCTCTCGTAAGAAGTTCCAGATTCCGTGTGTGATTCTGAATGCGTTGGTTATTCAGTCTTGCACTGCATTGTGCCTGCTGAGAGTGCTGCTTATGTACGTTCCCAGATATTTGATCTTGTGCTTCATGGTTATCTCCTTTATGGTCTTCTCTCCTTCTTTGTACTGGGGGTGTTGTTTCTTGGCACTCCTATTATCATGTAGCTCTTTTCATTGTGTATTTGTAGGTCCACCATTTCCAGGTGTACCTGGTACCTCGCTGGCCTGGACGAAGTCCTCAGTGTCATAATTTATCCGCGATTACAAGTAGATCGTCCGCGTATGCCAGTAATGTCGGTGGTAGTAATTGGCCGCCTGTGCTAAGGTTCGTCACCACCATCCTTGTTTGTTCTATAGCGTGGTCAAGTGCTATCGCGAAGAGCCTTGGGGAAGCGGACATCCTTGTTTGATCCTCCTGGTTTTCTTTTGGTGTTCGGGTTTCTTCCAAAACCGTTGTATACTAGTATACTCCCTTTGCCACGCGTTTATGGTTCTGTTGATTAGGAATTTGGGTAGTCCCAGCATCGCCCACGCTGTCATTGGTATATATTATTTCCTGTTTCCCCCTTGTTTCCTCCTTTTGTATTTTCTGATGTGCCTATACCATTACGTTTGCACATTCCTCTTCATTGGTCTGAGTTTGGCGATGTTCTCCGCGAACTCGGCGAATTCCTTGATTTCGTGTTGCTCATAGGCTCTGTTTTCTTCTTCCTTGACTTCCCTTAGCTCCTTCTTTGTTTCAGGTTAGTGTGGGTTTTGGTCCGCTTTCTGTTCGGTCACATGGACGGTTTCTGTTTCCCTAGTGTTTTCCTTGTTGTTTCTTTGAGCGTTTCGTCGATCTTTTCCAGATATGGTATCCCTTCCCCCTTTTTGCTGCCTAGTTGCGTATTGAAGTCGCGTAGTATGATACCCAGGTTCTTTCCGCACTTTTTTCTGTTGTTTCACTTCGATTTCTGAGTTCCGCCTGTCTTCTTTTGCCCGAGGGGATGTGGCATCCTGTGATTATTAGTCTTCCTATTTTCATTTTGATTTGGGTCATGGATATACCTACTCTTGCTTTTCCTTCAAATTTCTCCACTTCAATGCCTCGGTGCTTCTTGATTACGATTTCCGTAACTCTGCTGGTTCTCTCCTTCCCTCCGCCTATCCGTCTACGTCTCCTACCAATTGTGGGTAGAAATCTTCCAGGTTTTCCCTGATGTATGCGTTGATTTCTTTTTTAATCTTTTGGTTAATTTCCTGTGAGGCTCTGATGTCACTGGCAATCCACTCCGTTGGTGCGTAATCGCTTCAAACAGGCAGTCCCCGTCCTTATTTATACTGATGCATTCTAGGATGTATTCTTTTGATCGCACTTCTATTTGATCGCTGATACTTGTCAGTAAGGTCTTAATTCTGGTTTGGGTGCTGTTTGTTGATCGCTAAAAGAGATATCTAGGAGAGATAGTTTAGTTAAGTTAGTTGTTATGTCACTGAGACGCGCCCCTTCAGTCTATCTTTGGCCACCCCGTATATTCTATTCTGAGACTATAAACTAAAGGTACTAACGAGAGTAAAAAAGTGTAAAAAAACAGGAAAATAGCCGCTTAAATTAGGTAAGAAAGGTTTCCTTTTTTTTGTCAATCATGCCTATTAGACCGAAATTTGAGAGCTTAAATATTGTAATTTATAGCAACGGTTTTTTTTATATGTCTCCGGTTGACAAGTTTATGTTTCCTTTTCCAAGGGTCAATTTGTTCCACCCCGCTTCGAAGTAG